TTTATTCATTTTGAATTTTGCTTAACCCTTGTTTTAAAGGTGTTGATTTGGCACTTTATGTTTCTTTCTTATTCTTTTTCTTTTCTAATTTTTCTTTATATTTTAATTTCTTTTTGTTTAGATAAATTTTGCAAAAAAGCAATGGAGGTATACATGTAGCATTCCAATTTATTTTTTACTTTTTATTTATTTTTTTAATTAGATAAATTTTATGACAAAATGTGTCAATAAATAGGAATGACAAAATAATTTGTATTTAATAAATTTTAATCCAACCTGATCTATTAGAGGAGCAATTGTTTTTTGAATAGGGACAAATTTAGTTCTTTAAACACAAATAAAATTGGGTTAGCAATGGGTTAATTGCATTTTATCCTTATTCATCTAAAGAGATATATATATATATATATATATAAGTATATTTTAAAATCTACTATATAAATTTCACATTTTTTGCCTCCATAATATTAAAAAAAAAAAAGCTCATTTTTCTAATTTTTAATTTTTAATTTTTTTTACTTTTTACTTTTAATTTTTTTTTATTTTTAATTAAATAAATTTTGTAAAACATAATTTCAATTAAGGTGTCATGTAGCACCTCATTTGTTATTTGTTATTTGTTTTTTTTTTTATATTTTAATTAAATAAATTTTACAATAAAATGAGTATGTTAATATGAATGACAAAACAATCAATATTTGATAAATTTCGGTCTATCTCAATTTGATATAAAGCATTTTTATAAAAAATTGATCTCAAGTCGAGTCAGATTAATTTTTTTAAGGAAAGTGGAGATAGGCTTAAAGTCAATTTAGGGTGCTTTGTCCAAGTCAACTCATGATATATATAAAAGTATATATTTATATATATTATATTAATAAAATCATTATTTGATACTTTAATATAAGATATTAATATTTTTAGCGTAATTTTGAATGTTCACATAGCACCTCAATGATCACTTTTTTTTTTTCCTTCTTATTGTTTCTCCTTTTTATGATTTTTTATTGGTAAAATTATTATTTGATATCTTAATTTAATAGATTAATATTTTAAACTCATTTGAAATATCCAATAGTACTCCAATGAGCTCCATTTTTTTTTTTTTTTCTTTTTATGTATTTTTAATTAAATTAATTTTGTTAAAAAAAAGGTAAATGGAATGAATGTGATATCTCCATTTGACGTTTTTCCTTTTTGTTTTTTGTATATTATTAATAAGATAAATTTTGCAAAAAAAATCAATTGATAGAGACATCAAAATAATTCATATTTGACAAGTTTATGTTAACATTTATATTATTATTATATATAATTAGTTTTATTTAACTTTTTGTATTTTTCTACTTCAATAATCATTACTTCTATTAAAAATATAAAAAATATACTTAATTTCTTTCATTCATTAAATTTATAATAAATTTTTTTGTGTACGAATAATTAAAAAAATTAAACCGCAGTGAAGTGCAGATCAATTTTTAGTAAATTTCTTTAATGATAGAATGAATAAAATACCATATTTATAAAATTCAAGTTGCTATATATAACCCCATTGAAAATTTTTTAGTTACGCGGCTGTAATTATCCCGTTATTAATTTTTTGGGTTGAAGGAATTAAACTTTAATTATTATTTTTAATAAAATCTTAAAACTAAAAGTATTAAAATAAGACTTGCAAATTTTAAATTTCAAAATTTTTAAAATATATTTTTTAAACTTGAGTTTATTTGAGAAAAAAAAAAACAAATATGAACAAACGATAGGGGGGAATAATATTTTTTCTTTTCATTTAGGGGGTTAAATGTGAATACATAGATGCCAATTGTTAATATTTTGCACAAACTTTTACTTTTAAATTGATTTTGAAACATTTGGGAAGAGTTTATAGAAATTCCGCTTTGAATGTTTTACCAACCTTTTGATTTTGAGAGTCTTTGTTTGACATAATTTTGTTTTTCTAGAATCGCTTTTAAAATGTGTTTGGGTGGGACTCTCAAGCCTTTAAATGGTTGCTATCAAGGACAGAAGTCTAGTCTTGTAATATTTTTTTCAATGGAAAAAGTTGAGTCTTGTGAAATGTGTGTTATTGCTATGATGCCGGAGACGACTTGTATCTAACTTCAGGTTCATTTATGAGTGCGTGTCAAAGCAATTTTCCATTGTTGTTGGCAGTTGCCAGTCATTCAAGGGCAAACACCGCATTTTCAGAGTCAAGATTAAAAGATTGACTGGACTGGAGAACAAAATTCTTCGTCGGAGTCTTCACTTCAATTCATTCTACTCCATCACCCATACCATTTTTCATCCCTATTTTTCATACAGCGTCTCCGTACCGTCGCTGCTGCATCTAAATTAAAGTTCATTTTTTCTTTTTAATACATTTGCTATTTGTTTTTTTTAATATAAATGAAAAAAAAATAAAATAAAGATGAACAGAAAACAATAAATATACAAAGTGGAGGGTGTCAGTACCTAACTGATTCAATCATCTCTCAAAGTTTAATTTGAATCAATGACAGCATAAAATAATTGTGTCTACAAAAGAATGAATATTGCTTCAAGGATAATGAAAGCGTTACCATAGTTATTAATTTCGTTTAAGTAGTGATTGTATCAGTCAATACATTCCAATTATATCAAAATACAATATACTTATAAATAACTTTTCGTACTAGATTTAATACCAAGTAATATCTATTGTTTTTGTTGATTTTAGTTGATTTCAATAAATTTTGATAAATTGACTTATTTCAACCAAAACGTTAATGTAAATAATATTTTATAATTTTTAATATATCTATTGTTGTTTAACTATTTTTAACATAATAAAAATAAAATTAATTGATAAAATATCCCTTAAAAGTTGAATTTATCTATTTTTTATTGTAATTTATTTTTTCAAATCAAAATTCATAAATATTTCAATCTCTTTTAAGAAAATAATTATATTCACTTTCTAAAATTTAACAATCATAAAACCAAAATTAATTTATTTTATCTCTTTATTTTTATCTTAATATTTGCATTAAAAAAATACTTATTTAAAAATTATATGATCAGATTAAGTGTTTAAAAATATCATAAAAAATTTATAATATTATTTTTGATACTTTTAAACTTATTTATTTGATTTTTGAAAATATTGTATATTTATTTTGTAAATTATTAATAAGATTATAATGTACAAGTTCATATATACTTATAAATATATATATATATATATATATATTAAATCGAAAAATTCAAAACAATATACCGAAACAATTGATACCGTCGTATACCACATTTTTAAAGAAAACCAAAACGTTATCTGGTATGAAGTTACCTACCTTGATGTTACCACTCAGGCTACCTTGGCAGTGTTTGATGAGTGGTTTCCTCGAAGCCAAAAGTTAACGAGGAAGGAATCGAAGATAATCTGCATAACAATATCAATGGTATAAAAACAATGATATTGACAGCAAGAGAAGCTGAGAGATAATGATATAACCTGAATTAAATGTGCAGCAACACATGGTAGAACCAGTAAACCAGATTCACCGAATGCACCACCAAGCTGCTCCACAACTGCCAACGTTACAGGCAGAGTTTTCTACAATCATCGAGAAAACAAGAGAGCTTGAGAAAAAGTGCTTTTAGAGGAGAAAATTTTTTTTTGTAAACAATAGCTAGCTCAAGATAGCCACCTGGCTTGCAACAAACAAAGCTGCTTGGGCATTTTCTTTCTTGGCAAAAATTGATTTACTACCGCCAGAGACAGCTGAGAGGCTCCTTATAGCAAGAGCGTTAAAAGCTAACAGAATGAGGTGTAAAAGCCTGCAATAAATTAAGGAATCCTTAAGTAAGCAGATGCAACTCCATCAAAAGTGTATAAGATACAATCAATACGGAAATTATGCAAATTAGTTTCATCAAGTTCTCATTTTTTCCCTCCCTACCTGAACTATATGTACACAACTTTTGGACTAATGCTAAATAAAATACACAAAAATTGTATGATTGGTTATAACAAATTGGAAAGACAATAGATTGGAATATTAGTTTTGACACCAGTTGTAATTTGTAAACCCAGGTTAATAAATCTACCCAAATGATCTAGGTCAAACTAAAATTGCTTGCACTTCAGATTCGCATGAAGACAGTTCGCAGTGAAAGACACAGGAGTAACTCAATTGAGACTTACAATAAAGCAACAGCAGGCAAACTATGCCGAGCCACAGAATGGGAAACATGAAAGTCTAACATCATGCAAGAGACAGGTCCTTGGTGGGAACATCAGATGAGATCCTACAATGACAGTTAATGTCAAGCCAGTTTCCATACTATTAGATCTATGATCATTTCTTTTACAACAGGATCTTAGGTCTGATGCATGAAAGTTTTCATAATTTTCTTGTATGTCACTGTTATCAGTAAACTGGAAAAAGAACGAAATGGACATACATTGCCACTCCAATAGCAACAATAAAAGCTGCAGGTTTAACCACCATAAGTAACAACCTCGACCTGCTCACTTGCATCCATGGCACCTGGCAACCATCATAATTATGAAACATAATACAAGTTAAAACCAAAATGGCATCTAAAGTTGCTGCATTATTTCTACAAGAATCATATCTGAGCTTCAGACACGTTTTCATAGAAACAGTGAACCTTAAGCTTTTAATAAAAAGGAAAGTTGATTTTAAATTAAGAGAAATGACAAGAAAATTTTGAAAAACATGAAAATTTGTTGGCACTTGACATAGTATGAAATAAGCCTAATAGAATATTATTAATTGTGTAAACTGAGAAATGACACATGCACAGTAAGTACAGCATGCATTTTAGAACCATAACCACGGTGACACAAACATATAGACTAGTATCAGATAAACCCAACATCTCAATATTGACATGCCAAATTACCTTTGATATGATTCCATCCAAATATTTTTGGTTTTACTATATAGCATCCAAATTACCATTTTTAAGTAAACAAATACAAGCATAGACTTAACTGAAAAGCATTCAAACTGGTTAAAAGTTCATGAATGTATCATATTGAAGGCACAACATGGTTTCTCACACGGCTTACTTTTAGCACTTTGAACATAGGTACTAATAAGCTAAACCTCAAAACATTGATAAAAATGCAAAATACAAAATATAATCCTAAAGCCTAATACGTGGAAAATAAGCAAAACATGAATTAATATAAAATAGCCTAAATAATCTAAAAACCATAAATCGCTATAGAGAATTACAATTAAGCCACTTGTATGATTCAAAAATAAGGAAACAAATTCTTAAATAGTTTAAACACTCAATTAGCTTCCTTCCATTCTGTCACAGAATCTAGCTCGTCTTCCCTAAACCCCTCAGCAGGATTCTGGCCTTATCTATAAATTTAAATATTATTCTGACATTACTCTCTAAATGTTAGAACATATAGTAGTGGACAAATTAACTCTTAAGAACTTAAATGAACATGGTAATGGTTTAAAGATTAAGAATGAATAAGTGAGAAAAAAGAGAAAAGAACAAAAAAAAAAAAAAAAACTATAGGTTCCATAAAAGCATGTAAGGACCTAAGAAAGGGAAAGAGGGGCTTGATAGGTAGGAGGACAGGAAGTAAAGAAATAGAGCCAAATAAATAAAGCTTAGAAGCAAGACGTGAGAATTGGCTGCTAGAGACTGTTGAATAAGTGATATCGAAACCTATTACTGCATTTAAGATACAATCCCCAAATTGATGGGCAGTCTCCATAGTGCCACAACTAGTCAAAATCAGTATAAAGTTGGGTCAATAAGTATTTTTATAAAAGAATTTAACTAATAAACAGGGTTCTTATACAGGTAGAAAAAGGATAGCCATGGCATTATATCTATGCGAGATAGCACAATCAAGGAAAGCTCAGGGTACCATTCAATTTAAAACAGACATATTGCAGTCCAATTTGTTTGGTATCTCACCTGCTATGGCATCCTGTGCTGAATCATTTATTTATAGTCAGGGCAAGGGCCATAACAAAGAAACAAGCAGTTTTATCTGAAACCATAGTAGGCCTAGAAACATGCATGTCAAGTGTAATTGCTGAACTTGACTATTTTTAAGCTATTCGCTGAAATAAATTAAAAGATCCAATGTTCCAAATTTCAGCAGAGTGAATGGAATGAAAAGTTGAAACTTGAATGGAAGAAAACTTCTGAACTGCCAACATAAACTTCAAATGGAAAGAGAGAAATTGTTTCAACATGTTAAAAGCAAAAGTTAAAATTACTTGATGTTACAATATTATTATACGTAAAATAAAACTAAAAAGATCCAAAATTTAGGCCTTACTAAGCTGACGAAGACTGCACTGATCTTTGAAAATAGCTTACGGTTATGGTCAACGAAATCTGCCAATCCTGTATTACACAGTTTAATCATGTTTGAGAGCATGAGTTGGTAAATAACATAGAAGAGAACTTCCGAGTAGGTGCTGTACATGCAACAAGAAAGCCAAAATACCATGCATTAAAATTTTCAGTTTTGTCTACACAAGCTCAGATAGCCTTATATTTTTACACACAAGGAAATTTCTTTCTTTTCTCTGGTTTCTTGAGAATCCATTACTTGGTTGTCAGACATAAAATAGCAATTAGAGATCAATGATAGTCTTGAGTGCACACTGCACTGTTTTTGAGGTTTGGAAGTAAACAAAAGAGTGCTCGAGAATGGGAAAATCTGCCACCACGAAACTCAAGAGATTAATAACCTCTATTCATTCTTTCAAACTAATCTTCCGAATCCTGAAGTACATGGGCTCCCATTTTCAGCCTATAGAATTTGATTCTTAAATAGTTTTGAATACCTAACCTTTTGCATTTCAATTTTTACGCTTTGCCAAGATGCATATCAAATAAGACAACATATACCAGAATTAAAGGTATGTAGAAGTATTGATAACAGTCACTACATTATCAAAAAATGAAAAAAAAAAGGGCATTCTCAATGTCAGCTACATGTTCCAATCAGCTATCCTATCATTTAGAGGTGGCAAACGAGCAGGCCGGGTTTGGGTTGGGTCATTTGGGGTCAAAGAATATTTAAATATTTTCAGGTTTGGGTTATTTCGAGTTACAGTTACTGATTTTAAAGTCAAATCAATATAATTTCGGGTCATTTCAGGTTAATCTATCAGATCATTTGGGTTTGGGTCAAATCAAATTCAGGTTCAGGTCATTTGGAGTTCAAATTGTTGACTTTTCTTGGTCAAAATCGGGTTGGGTAGGATTCAGGTTTGGGCGGGTGAATGGGTTTTTCAAATTCAGATCAGATTTGACAGCTCTACTAACATTTCATCCAGTCGAAACATTATGAGTATGAGGAAGCTAAGAAGAGTGGTGCATTAGCATAAGTATATTCTAAAACATGGATGCCTTAGCATAAAGATTATGCAGAACCTGCTTAGAAGGAAAAGGGAAAAAATAGCCATGATGGAGAGGCTCACCTCTGAAGGATTCTCATAAAACCTGTAATTAGGAGGCAAAAATTACAGTTAGAAAACAATAAAAACCTATAGGAAGGTTATTCTAATACGACTTGGAGGACCAGTTTTTGTAGTATTAACTTTTCTTTTTAATTTTTGGATAAATAGTATTAACTATTCACTATGTATCAGAAGTCAACCATTGTGTATGCCGCTCTCCCTGACCCCCCCACACCCCCCCCCCCCCGCGGGGCAAAAAAGTAACAACATGGTGAATGTAAAATCATGAAAGAAAAAAAAAATACTGAACTATGCTACTCAAGTACTTCATTTAAAATATCATGAATATATTCTTGGATGACTTCAATAACTGCCTACTTTTACATCCTACCTTGCAATAACAACAAGATAACTTACAACCACTTCTTTCTAAATTAGTGAAACCAGAAGAATTTTCTTCTTTCCAGGTAAGAATCAACGGAAATATTACCTTCCCCAATATCAGAGGAACCAAATGTCTAAGAACAAGACTTCTAAGTAGTTGTTCAGTTGGAACAGACACACCAACTCCATCAGCTATGAATTTTGAGATGGAAAATGGAATCTGAAAATGATATATTAGCATATGTTCATTTAAATTAAAAAGGATAGAAAAAAAAAAGAAAATTGGATTGAGATTGATAAATCAAACATGTTTTAAACACACAATGTGCATGCGTGTGCACATGAGAGAGGAAACATGAGACAACTTAAAACTTCATTCATTTTTTTTTTTTTTGGATACATATGATCTTGGACTACATAATGGTAGGTATACCTCTCCTATCCCACAAAACCCACTCCTTCCCAAGATTTGTACCCAAAACCTCCAAGTTGGTTTCTCTGGTTCTTAACTGCTGGTGTTCCCCTAGGTCTAGAACTTCATTGAATTACAATGTAATAAATGTTGATTTAAAAGAGAATAAAAAAAAAAAAAAAGAAACAAATGCTCTGATCTTTAGAACATCATTTTTCTCACTTTAGCCCAAGACAACTTAGTTCATTTTGATTGTTCTTTATGCTCCACCATTACAAATCAATGATTTAAAACTTAAGAGATAACCTAACCAAACAGTAACTCTAACAACTTAGATCTTCTGCCTGCTTGATTACCATCCTTTCCTAAGATTTTCAAACTTAAACCTTTATCATTGTAACACGTAAAAATTTCAATTATAGCTGTACACTTTATCAATCCTTCTATTAGGATTTGTGGAAAAACCAAGAGTAATTGAAAACTTCTATATTGAATTATACAAGCACCTTAGGTTTATATACAACTAACTAGAGGATAAATTAGGAAACTAAATCTTCCTAAGGTTGATCCCTATGATTGAGGGATCGTCTATCCTAATTTTATATCCTTAATTTAGGGATACAAATACTTAATTCTAGGGATACAAATACTTAATATATTACACCCAGTTGTAACTAAATGTTTTCCCACACTGCCTTTCAAGCTAATGAATAGGTGTTTTAATTTCTTGAAATGTTGCACTGTTAAGACCTTTAATCAACACATCTGCAAGTTGACCCTTGGTTGATACATTCGGTGTACAAATCAACCCACTGTCTAGTTTCTCCTTTATGAAGTGCCGCTCTAATTCAATGTGTTTTGTTCTGTCATGTTGCATAGGATTGTATACAATGCTTATTAAAGACTTTTTATCACAATAAAGTCTCATTGGTCCATCCCACTCGATCTTCAAGTCTACTAGGATAATTTTAACCATAGTAATTCACAAACTCCTTAAGTTATTACTCTAAACTCTGCTTCAGAACTTGATCTTGCCACCACATTCTATTTTTACTCCTCCAAGTCACTAAATTACTACCTAGGAAAATGAAATAGCCCGAGGTGGATCTTTTATTAGTTACCGAACTTGCATAATCAATATTGTATATGCCTATAGTACCAACCCAAAATTTCGTTTGAACAAAATACCTTTCCCAGGATTGGCCTTCAAATAGTGTAGTACATGATAGCTAGCCTACAGGTGCACTTCTTTAGGACTATGCGTAAACTGACTTACCACACTCATAGTATATGCTATATCAAGTCTAGTATGTAAGCAATAAATGAATCTTCCAACTATTATCCGTACATCTCTCATACAATAGCATCTTTATTAGCTTCTCCGAGTTTATGATTAGGATCTATAAGAGTATTTGCAGGTTTACATGCAAGCTTCCTGATTTCCTTCAAAAGATCCATCACATATTTCTATTGTGAGATGAAAATACCATGCCGTAAGTGAGCCACTTCAATTCCTAGGAAGTACTTCAATCTCCTTAGCTCTTTTATCTCAAATTCTCAAGCCAAACACTATTTTAGAGATTCTATCTCTTTTTCATCATCTCCTATTATAATTATATCATCAACATACACTAACAGAACTATAACTCTCCCTTAAACCTGAGTGCTTGATAGTGTGTGATCCCTTTGACTTTGCTTATATCTCATTGCTAACATCACTTTGACAAATCTCCCGAAGCACGCCCTAAGAGATTGTTTAAAGCCGTATAAAGCCTTTTTTAGCTTGCATGCTTTGTTTGCTTCTAGATGACCTCCGAATCCCGTGGAACCTTCATATGTATTTCTTCTTCGAAATCACCATGTAGAAAAGCATTCTTTACATCAATTCTTGAAGTTGCCAATTGTAATTTGCAGCCAAGGGTAAAAAAATCCTATTTGTATTCATCTTGGCAACTGAAGCAAAAGTTTCTTGATAATACACTTCATAAGTTTGAAGTGTAGCTCTTAGTCACCAACTTGGCTTTATACCTGTCAACAATACCATCCACCTTGTATTTTACATTAAAAACCCATTTACACCCAACTAGGTTTTTTCCTTAAGGCAACTCTAACAATTCTTGTGTCTTATTTTTCTTTAAGGCATCCATTTCTATTTTCATGGCTTGCCTCCATTTTTTATTGGATAATGCCTCGAATAGTGTAGTTGGAATAAAAATAGTGTTTAGGCTCACAAGGAAATTTTTGTGGGATGGTGAAAAATTTTCAAATGACACAAAAAATTAGACACTGGGTATAATGGATGCTTAGTATATTCTCTGGTTCCTTTTTTAATGGCAATAGGCAGATTATAATCACTAGTTTTAGTTTTAGGTAATTCATGCTCATTTTGAATAATAAAGTCAGAGATAGTAGTTACCTCATTTCCATAGTTAGGATCAAGTTCTTGGACTTACACTGGTTCAGGAGTTAGAACTTTCCTTCTTGAGTACCCCTATAATTCCTTCATAAAATCAAGATAGTATTATCCTTAGTCACACTTCTGCGTTTGGAATGAGTTCAAACTCAAATTCAGTGTTTAACTTGGACTTAAAAGAAATTGATTTAGACCTAAAAAAATTAATGGGTGAAGATGTTGAGGAGGAGGACAAGTTAAGCAAAAGGAAATTTTTATCCTTATCTTCCATGAATGAAGTCTCCCCCTAAAGATAAGGTTGAGTAAAAAATGATTTACTTTTGTCAAAAGTGACATCTATGGACATAGAATTTTTTTTGTAGGAAGATGCTAGCAGTTATACCCTTTCTGAGTTGATGAATACCCCACAAAAATACACTTAATTGCCCTTGTATCCAACTTCCTCCTATAATGACTGTGAACATGAACAAATGATGTACAACCAAATATCCTAGGTGTGAGATTGTTTGTGATATTATAGTTGGGATAGAATTATGAAAGTAGTTCCATAGGAGTTTCAAATCCCAAAACCCTTGAAGGTAACCTAATTATAATGTGTGTGACAGTGATAACAGCTTCCCTATAGGATTTAGGTACATTTGCTTGAAAAAGCAAGGCTCAGGTTGTGGCTAATAACTGACCGTTTTTCCTCTTTGTCACTCCATACTATGTGGAGTATTAACACAAAATTACTCATGGATAATCTCCTCTTTTTGGAAATAGATAGACTCTAGTTGAAATAATCTCTAGCATTATCAGACCTAAATCTCTTAACTTTCACTCCAAATTAACTTTGGATTATGCTTTGGAAGTTTAAAAATATACTATTCACATCTGATTTGGATTTAAGTAAAAAAATCCAAGAGACCTTGATACTATCATCTCTAAATGAAACAAACCACCTTGCACTAGAAATATTAGAAATTGTATAGGGATCCCATATGTCACTATAAATCAAGTAAAAAGAAGTAATTATTGTTAACTAGAAAAGGCACATATCTATGCTTTGCAAGTTTACAAACATAACAATGAAAATTTTGGACATTTAATCCTTTGAACAAAGAAGGAAACATGGTTTTCCAAAAAAAAGATGTCCAAAACGAAAATGATAAAGCCAAATTTTATCTTTATTAGAGGTTTTCCATAAAGAAATGAGAAAGGTAAACTATTCTTGATATACTTGCATTGTTTGATGTCTTAAGATAATATAGTTCATCATTCTCCTTAGTAAGTCCAATCTTTTTTCCTGAACCCTGATCCTGAAATTCACAATAGGAGAGATAAAAAGTCTCACCGCAATTCATGTCTCTAACAAATTTTTATATAGATATCAGATTAGTAGACAATCTAGGAACACAAAGAACATTTTTAAGAATAAATGAGGAATTAACTTGAACATCTCCTAACCTTGCCACTGTAGTAAGTGAACCATCTGCAACAACAATTTTCTTATTACCAGGACACATGGTATATGTATTAAACTTAGGTGATGAATGTGTCATATGGTTTGAAACTCGAGTCAATGACTCATGAACTCGTAATAGACTTATCCAAGACATATAATCCAAAACTAGACTTTAACAAAACTAGAGACCTTACCTGAGTGTGCCAAGGAACATACACTAGTAGGCTTTTCAAGGGTTCCTAATAGGCTTCTCAGTTTTTCAATCTCTTCTCTATCTAACTCTTCTGGTTCCTAAAACTTTCTTGGTTTGACTCCATTACAGTCATGTGAGCTCGGCCTTGATTTCTTGGCTATCCTCGTTTATAACCCCATTCTTTGCTCGAAGTTGAAGGTTTTCCATTTAGTTTCCAACAATGATCTTTGGTGTGCCTCAACTTCTTGCAATAGTTGCACCAAATACTGTCATGACTTGAGGTTTTAGCCAAATCACCTTTCCTTTTCTCATTGACTAGTAATTGTTCCAAGCTTTGGTTACTCCCACCATTAGACACCATACTGGATCCTTCTACATGCAGGATATCGAAGCATCATTCCTTTTCTACTCTCTTCTACTCTAACCAAGGAGATCACCTCATTTAAAGAAAGTAGATCTTCTTTTCCTAAAATTTGGACTCTGACTTGATCAAACTCAACATTAAGTCTAGCAAGAAAATCATAGACATGATATTTTTCAATAAACTTCTTAAAAGTTATTGCATCTTCACTATACTTCATCTCTATACACTGGTAGTGGTCCATCTCTTGCCAAAGATTTTTCAAAAAAATAGCTTTGACTAACTTATTCCCTAGTTTGAAAGCTGCAGTCTTGATCTTTATCGCATAGACTTGAGCAGCATCCTTAACTTTGGAATAGGTTTGCCGAATTGACTCCCAAATGTCTCTAGTGTCAGAATTCCACAACCATGACATAATCATGGAATCCTCTTCATCCTAAGCCTCAAATTTTGGATCTCTTTTCTTAGGATTGATACCAAGAAGATGGCTAAATTTTCCTTTCCCTTTTAGAAAGGTTTGAACCAACTGAAACCACTCCAAGTAGTTCTTTCCATTCAATCCGCACGCAACTTGGATATTTTGTAGTTTTCCTTGGTTTGACCAATTGTCACTTCCTCAAATCGAGTAGTAGAGATAGATTCTGCTATCTCTGACATGGTTATCTTTTTCAAGACTGAAACGAGTCTTGTTAGTGAAGATTTAACTAGAGACAATTCTTGGTAATGAAGGCCAAAGAAGGAAAAAATAAGACTATGGAAGACTTAACAAGATTTGGCTATGAATGCTTAAAGAGAATTCAGCAATGAATGCTGAAAAAAATTTTCTTCCCAAGAAAATAACACCATGTGAAAAAACCAAGAGTATATTGAAAACCTTTTCTATTGAATTACACAAGCACCTTAGGTTTATATATAGCTAACTAGAGGATAAACTAAGAAACTATATCTTCATAAAGCTGATCCCTATGATTGAAGGATTGTGTATCCTAATTTTTCTGTCCTTAATTCTAGGGATATAAATACTTAATTCTAAGGATACAAATTTATACAGATTACAGCCAGCTATAACTAAGTGTTTTCCCACAGTATTAAATCACTTTTGCAAATCATCATTTCCTAAAAATTATGTTGAATATGACCAATCTATTTAGAGGGTACTCTTTGAATTTATCCTTCATTAGAGTCATATTTAATTAACCCCATTTTGAATGCATTCATTCCTTATTTTATAATTTCCAATAGCACCATGTATTCAGATTCAAATTGTGAACAATCACTTTACCATAATTTTTAGAAGCCCACATTTCAATACCATAAAGATGAACTAATTTGAAACTATCCTATTAATTTTTTTTTCCTCAATAGTTCAGCACTAATATGAATAATAACCTCTTAAGTCTAACATCCCATAACATAAGTTAATTGATGGTAGGGGATAATAGTTCTATGACATTACAAAATTCACTAACTAGAAATATATTGTTTTTTCCAGTACATTCTTCCCCTTTATATTTCTCCTTAGTTAACAATAGCAATCTATAAATATAAATTACATTAAAATCAGTGCAATTGATACATTGAAATGATGTACAGCAAGGGGATATCAGACAATAATGATCAACATCAAAATCAGAAAATATTCATAGAGAAGACATAGATAACACTATGCAATCAGCATATCAATCATTGACCAAAATACTCCATCGAGAGTTAAAAGGGAAGCAAGGATATATCAAACATCCAATCAATTCCAATAGCAAAGCTAAAATTTAACAGGATATTAATCATACACCTTTTGCTTGTACAACTTACAATCAAGATTCCCAAAATATTAGATATCACTGTCATTGCAAGAGCAAGTGGAAAGTTCCCCCCAGCAAGCTGCATTTGAAAAATGCATGCCTTATTTAAACACAAAGCCAAAGACATCATGGAATGGATTTAGACAATAAATAGCAATCAGCATGCCTGAGTAAGTGCAGCTGCACTTGATAATGTTGTTGACATACAGTTAAATAAAGCAAGTCCCGTAGTTAAAAGAACAGAAATTATTAGTTTGTAATAAAACAACAACAATAATAATAATAACTAATCATTTTCCCTCTTGTATCGTTCATATTTACCAAGATTGGTGCCCTCCTTGGAAACACGAAAGGGATTGTGGGATCTAGATTGTGTTACCTTTACAATCCCAACACTCATTGTACACGATTTGGATACCTAAAAATGGGGATCCAAATTTTTACACGAAACACATAAAACATGTTTGTTAAACCTAAGGTCATTCACAAAGAGAGTAAGAGGAGATGCAAGGGTGGAAGGGAGGGAGGGATTTTGAGTTCGGCAAGCAGCAATATGTTGTGTAGCTATGACTAGACGGAGAAGAAGAACAACAACAATCCCAAACAGATTAGGATTTTCTATTTTATTCCAACTTGGATTCAAATTCCTCAATCCCAAAATCCATTCCAGAAAAGCTTTAAACTTTCATCACAATTGGGTTTAACAAATGATTATACCCTCAAAAAAGAAAGCAACGTGTCTTGGAACCTGATGGGCTTTATTATGTCTTTGGGCTCTTGCTTGATTATATAGTTCAATATCAATTGGCGGGTAATTTTTTATTTTACTCCATTGATTCTGTAGTCAACATGATTGCTGTTCATGTAGCCTGCATTAGCCGAAAAAAATTCTATTTTATTTTATGAAATTTATTTTGAATTAGCAAATAATGAAAAATATTTGCATTTGAATAAAAAATACTATTGATGATCCAATAGTTGTTTCATAGTATACCAACTAACTGATTCGTACAACATTACCTTATAACTATGACCTACATACACACTGACTTGACTTTTCTAACTTAGCAAATTGGTTGAGTGCAAAAGATCCAATCATTCCAATCAATTATTCCACTAAGTCAAAAAAGCAACATCATCTACCATGAGTGCCAAAAATGCCAACTGGCCATAATCCTAACGGTTGTTAACGTCACCTATATCACATGACATCTTTCACTCGATATAAGGGTTTATCTGAGTAAAAATCATACATTAGAAGCTTATTTAGGTATAATAAAAGGATAAGAGCTATTTTGAGAAATTAGGATACTTCAAGGGCATATTAAGCATTTTAGTCTAATAAAAAATACTATGCCCATGTCAAATTATAAAATAATTATATTTGATGTCCATGATACAATTTTTTATTTTATATAGGTGCCAAGTGGCTGTTAAAATTGCACTGGCAATGCGCTTAATGCTATTTTTATCCATTAGGTTTCACTGCACTGGTAATTAATGTTTAGGTTTACAATAGCATTTGAATTAAAGTACAAAGCCTTGATTTTGTATGTAATAAATGATGGAGGGCTAAATATGCCTTTTAGTAAAGTTGGAGGGCAAAATCAGGTATGATCCCTTTTGGAACAAAAAAAAAAAAATTCAATCATCTAGATGTCAGTAAATTAAAACATTTGAGTTAAATCATACTTGGAAAATAAAAGGGCAACTAGAAGAAATTGTTGAAAGGAAGTTGAAATCATATAATGAGATGACAAACTGAAACATGGCTTTTGAACATAAAAATCATCATAAAAGCTAATATATTACAAACAAACTATGGAAGGCTTTGAATGAAAGATCAAAGATATCAAAATTTAGTACGCATATGACAATGTCATTCAAATACTAATACCCATACCAATAATGTGGCATGGGTACGGTAGCAAGCTACACCACTTAATATGTGGTGTGAGGGCAGTAGGCTTAGTTGGTACGCTATTTCAGATTATGGTATGCTTTGAAACAACTATCGGGTCACAGATAGTATATGTTATTCAAAATCTAATAATTTCCTTTCTTTGTTACTATAAAACAAAATTACATATAATAAAATAGTAGTTTTTTTGGCTAATATGGAGCAATTAACTCTTCTTATCTAAATATGGGGTCATGTGGACTTCAAAATCAGTGGAGTGAAAATAAAAATCACCAACCAATTTACATGGGACTGTATGATCAAGCAATAGCCTGAAGACATAAAAAGCCTAAGACCTGGTCTTTTTTTTGGGCTAGACTATAACCACTTATTAAACCCAAATATGAAGAAAGTACAAAGCCTTTTTAGAATGGATTGTGGGCCTAAAGATTTTGTACTCAAGTTGGAAAAAAAAGGAAACGTGTAATCTATTTGGCATTGTTCTTTTTTTCCATCTAGCCACAACTGTACAATATAATGTTGCATGCCGAACTCGAAATACTCCCCCCTCCCCCACCTCTACCTCTCCCTCTTTATCTAGCTTTGTGAATGACCTTAGATTCAACAAATATATTTATTGTATTTGATGAAAAAAAAATCCCCAATTTCAGAGATCTAGATCGTGTACCAAGAGTTCCAAGACCACTATGAAACTGAAATCTGGATCCAACAATCTGACTAGCAATTTTGTGTCTATATCTTGAGTTTGCTATGGCTTTCATATTCGAACTTGGGTGTCTCCACCAATTGCCAATTGGTTCTAGGTTGAACACTTGACAAAAGCACAATGGAACTCAAGACAATCAAACTAGTCAACCCTATTTAGTTTTGAGTTTATGTCTTTCTCATATGATTATGTTTTGTCTTTCCAATAGTAAGTTCATCTATACCTCAAATTAGTTTGAAGTTGCTCAAGGTTTATATCATAGTAATTGCAATTCCCTAACAAAAAGGTCACAAGTGGCAAGCCTAAGAAAATTATTAGTAAAAGCATGAAACTTAACTCAGCAGCTGTTATAAAAAGAAGTCAGATCCTCCACAAAGTTGGCAACGGCATGAAAAAAAAAAAAAAAGGTAAATAGATAATTACTAAATAGTCCTTGCCAGAAGGAACACCAGCAATTCTACTTGGAATTTAGTGGCCATAAGACAGCAGCAACTATATATTTCCAACCATTTCATATTGAAAATAAATTTTTAAAAAAAGGTCATTTGCAAACTTAGAATTAGAGAAGAACAACATATATATGATAAGTAATTTATTTTCTCAACTTTATTTTTTCAAATTATAAGAACAAGCAAGAAATCTCCCTAAGTTCTATTATCAAACCTGTAACAAACTCAGGAGGTTGAAGCTGAATTTGCAGTATTAGCCTTGAAAAGTATGGAGTAAACAATAGGATGGAGCACTGCAATAAAAGAAGGCAATAATTATTTAAACAACTGTTCTTGCATATTTGACTACAAATTTTAGAAGGATTATAATGCTGAACATTGGAATAAAACATCAAGAGAAGACAGAAGCATGACAGCAAAGATACAAGAAAAACAACCATCTAAGTTCCTTGGTTTTAGCTTTCTATCACTTCCTGAAGGACCATCTGTGGTTCCTAGTGTGCCTCTTTTTTAATTGTGTAATTACTACCTTCCAACAAAACAGAAGTGCAAATATTTAGCCCGGTTCTAGAACTCTGAGGAAGCTCCTAATAAAGTAATTTTTCCCAAGCTGGAGCATTTTTAAGTGGATAAAGTTTATAGTTCTCAATGAAAGATGAAAAAGTACCTTATTATTATGAAAGTGATCTGTAGATTTTTTTTTAAGTTGCCACGCATGAACTCTGTTTTGCGGACTTGGCACTTTCAGCCGCCTTACCCATGTTGACACGACACAACATGGACAAAGACATGATATATATACATCCGACACTGTGGTGAAATACAGACTCACCTTCTTCTCAATAGGCAAATCAAACAAAAAATATTAACAATAAAGTGACAAGACAAGATAGATGAATGTAAGTGGTTTGAAGAAGGAAAAAAAACTTTTGTTGTTGTCCTTCTTACTGATGGTCTAGGGTGCTCAGGTTCTCATTGTTTGCAGTTGAAGTAAATTCTAGAAAGAACTTTAGAGCTCAAAAAGAGCTGAATTCTCATCTACCTTTTTAAGGTTAAAATCTAGAAAGCAGATTCTCATAATTGAATAATTAATTCCCCTAATTTCTTATAATATGAAAGAAAGAAAAAAAAAAAAATTTGAGTTTAAGAGATTTAGAGGGATAAAGAGTTTCCCTCCATTTCCCTTCGCTTCATTTTATAACTCTCTCAAACAAAGGAAATCTATCCTTACCTTCCGTTTCCTTTTATTTCCTACATAGTGTAATATATCAAACAAATGGTTGCATATATATATAACTGCCAGAGATAATTGCACAGAAAGACAAAAAAACTATTATTTATGAAAGAGAACAAAGGGAAATGCAAATATGAAAAATGAACCTACAAAATGCATAATGGCACATAAGAAATTTGAGGTCATACTAGCCCAAAAAGTCCTATAGGCCATGCTTTGGCAGCAGCACCAATTGCATCATTGCGCAGAGTCAAACCTGCATAATAGGTGAATTATGAGAGATGTAAATCATAAGGCAATATCTTTACCATGAGAAAAAAAGGAACAATGCTCAAATTTTACCCGAGATAATAAATATCCCGAAAGTGCTAAATTTTGACAGATAATATTTATCAGCAAGACAGCCAAGGGTAGGATTTGCAAGTCCAAATACTACCCCACCAATAAGTACTGCTTGTAACATCACAAAAACAACCAAATCCTTGTTATATTTGAGAATGAAAAGACTTATCTCACACAAAGAAGGCATAAGAAAAACAAAATTTTAAATGGACAGGGCAAAGTTTTTGAGATTATAAGGAAAAACTGAACATATTCACATGTTCCTTTCACCTTTCAATAACATGAATCATTTATACCAACGCCTGTTGGTCTGAGTGGCAAGGAGCTCGGTTCTCCTTAAGCAAGGTCTCGGTTCTGAGTCTTGTGAATAAAGAAAACAGGCTTGGGAGAGCTTGTTCCCCTTATGGGGTCCGACCAGGCTCGACTCCGGATTAGTCGGGGCCTAAAGTGGCTATCGGACACCGGGGGGGTCCCAGATCAAAAAAGAAAAATCATTTTTGTTGTTAGCACTTGACTCAACTTCATTGTCCTAGTTTCATCATGGATTTTATTTGTAGGATTGTGTTTTTTAGATGATGATTAGAATTGGCTTTCTTGTACCAAAAGCAACATCCTTTCCTTATCCAATAGAAATTCATTTTTTTTTTGGTTGGACAATGAGAAATTGATATCAGGGCAATTGTGGACAAAGCAAATTTAGGGATTTACAAGAGAATACTATTCATAAGGAGCTTACAAGATTTTCCAGAGATTTAAAGAGCTGGGAAAACACATTCCTGAAATTGCTGTCAGTCTCACTACCTCTGTAGTTGCCACCCCCTACTTGCTCATTCGCAGTTACTACCATAATGGAAAGGGAAAAAAAGGATATTTTGACAAATCAATGTTAATTATTCATCTTTCCGTGTGATTCTTTAATTTTCATCAATCTCAATATGATATGCTTTTGCACTAATTCAAACTCTGCCCAAGAAGCCAGCAATCGGAATGACAAGTGTATATGTTTATCCACCTACTATATATCAAATACTGAAGGCATTATCACTTGATCATGAACATTGATTCAAGTTATTTTTTAGCCCCTCCATTGAGCACCTCCTGCTGTAATCATTCCACTTTTTTCTTCTTTTGTTGAATCAATTATAAATGACAAAACTATCCCAACTTTTCTGTTCTTTTCTCATAACAGGCACTATTGTGGACAAATAAAATTAAATTAATATCGCACCTGACCATTTGGCTCAATGCTAGATGCATATGTCCCCTATTCAAAGAGCTACATTCGAATCCCCTCGTCTCCAAATCAAAAAATAAAATAAACAATATCTAATTATGTTGGTCTTATACAAGTTGCATTACTAATAAGTGTGTCTGTTAGGAATCTGAAAGAAATATTGAGAAGGAATTGTTCTAAATGCAAACCCTAAACCCTAAATATATTTGATTAGAGAAGGAATTGTTCTAAAACCAAAAGCAAAAACAAGTCTTTCATTTAAGTGAAAGGGTCTACTGTAAAATATTGAAGCATGTAGTTAAATGATCCCACCGAGGAAGAACATGTTCTGTCTTTTATTTTAGACAAAAAAAGCAAAAAGCAGAGGTCGTTTGAACAATTCTTGTTTCACTTTAAAGTAAATCCTTTTTCATTTAAAAAAGTGCTTCTTAGAAAGTAAAAAGAAAATAAAAACAGCCACTATCTAAAAATCACCAAAAATACTTGCAGATTTTTTTACTCAAGGTTTTATCATTACACATTAAACAACCTTATTTTCCAGAACCTTACAGCACCATCAAAGACCATTGCATGGCAACATTCCACAACTGAATTTTCACGAAAAAGAAAGCAGGAAAAGCCAACATTCTCATTTTTTTAAAAGAAAGATGAGAAGAATAGAGATATTCAATTTTTATAACTAATAACCTGCAATAAATAAAATCCATTTCAAAATGCACACACCATAAGAATCCCAAAATAGAAAATCAACAATCTTCTAGTGCATTCCTCATGAACAGAAATCATATATTCATATTCAGCTAATTTTGTACAAAAAAATGAAAAATAAACCGGTAAACATTGTTTAAAGCAAAAACGAAAACCACGCTCATTCCCCTTAAACAAATTTATCATTACCTAAAGGAAGAAAATTGTCGGCGGCAAAATTCAGCAAAGGTTTTGTCCAATTTAAGCCATTAGCCAAACCTGAACCATTTGTCTACAATTCAAATCAAACTTCGTTTGCTGCAAAAGCATAAAACGAAAAAAACAAAAAAGTGAAAGCCAAACTAGAAAGCCTATTGAAGGAAACCTCATCCGACAGTTTACAGCATCTGACAAGTGCTGAAATGGAACGGCTAGGATTGATTCTGAGGGAGCGGCTGATGAGAGGGAAAGTTTGCCGCCGAGAAAATGGCGCCGTGACGGTGCACGGAGGCGTCAAAATTAGGGATCGGATGGTTCCCGCCATAGACCTCTCAAACGATATTGGGAGATGGTGGTTTCTCTGCTAGTCTGCTATCCGGGAGAGGATCCTCTCCACTGCAATGAAATAAGTGGAGATCTCCACTGATATTCAAATAATAATCTATGGTTAAAAATAATCCACATCACTTCCCTTTTTTTCACCAAACTATGCGGTTCACTTTACTAATACCGTTTCTTCGCTTCTTAAGCTGAAGTCATCCAAAAGCAAGTACAAGAATCTGCTTTTCAAATCAAATTACTACCAACTTTCAGCCAAAAAAAAAGAAAAAAATTGCTGCCAACTTGCTTAATAGTTAGAATCAAGTAGCTGGGTATTGAACGAAAAAAGGTTATGGGAAGTCTGTTATAGAAACAAAGAGAAAGACCAATACCATAGATTTGGAGAAGAAATTAACAAAAAAAAAAAAAAAACCATTGTAAATAAGAGATAACACGGAAGAGGAAGGATTTTGTGGCTCGACATGTCTTTCTTGCTCAATTTTACCAATGGCGAGGAAGTAAAGCAAAAGAAAAAAAAAAAAAAAAAAACCAGTGAAATGGGTAAAGACGGAAGGAAAGCGAAGAAACGGTGTTGGTTTTGTGAAACGCAAAATTTTAGTCAAAAAGATAAAAAGAGTTATGTGTACATGTTTTAGCTACAGATTATTGTTTGGAAAATCAGTGAACATCGCCGCTGACATCTTTGCGGTGGAGAGGATCCGCTCCCCTGCTATCCAGTCTAACTTCAGAAAATATTTTAAATTTACGTGATTCTATAAATGTTAAATAAAATTAGTAAACAAATTAAGTGCCATTTAATCGCTTACGATTAAAAATCTTACATTAAATTATTTTAAAAAATAAATTAACAAATGCATTAAAAAATTAATCAATGGTTACAAATTTTTTAATATTCTATCAAACAAGTGATTAATAATTTTTTTCTGTAAAAATAATTTTTTTATCATATTTTCTCAATGCATGTTTAAAAGTATTAATTGTTATTTATTAAATTAATATTAATAAAAAGGTATAATATAAAAGTTAACATATATATTTAAAGTTATATTTTTACACAATAAATAAATAAGTAAATAAATATTAATTTACCAATTAATTATTTAAAAATAATTTTTAAAAAATACATTTAATTCAATTTTTTAAAATTTTAATATCTATCACAGAATTTAATTAAAATGATAAGAAAAGGAAAGAGCTAATGTCGTTAAAGAGCTTTAAATTATAATAAAATTTTTAATATGACAATTGAATTTTAAAAATTTTTAATATAAAATTTGAATTATAAATCTATAATTAATATGGTATTCATATTTAATGTGACTGATTTTAAATAATAACACGTAACAAATAAATAATCATCCAAATACTACATTATTTAACATATTTATAATTCAAATATCATATTAAAAATTTTTAAATTTAAGTATCAAATTTGAGTATATAATTCAAAAATCATTCTAACATTAACCCCAAAAAAAGTACATACGATATTATCATATAAATTTAAATATTTTCATATTTAATTTATTTTAAAAAATCTTTTCATTATAAACCATCAAATTTAAGTAAAATGATAAGGATATACAAAAAGTTATAAAACATTATAATATTAATTCAATATTTTCATATTTAATTAATTAATAATTTGCAAATAATTTTTAAAAATATATATAAATTAAATTCATTTGAAACATTTCCATATTATAATAACAACTTAACTTAATTAAAATAATAGGTAGATGAAAAGTTATAAAAAGTTATTATATTTTTTTAAAGGGATACATCGTTATTTTCAATCTATAAATTCATGATTGGACATAAATTTTTTTTTTAATTTTATGTTTATTGGTTTACCTGTGATTTTTAATTTTTTTCATTTTATTTATATATAGGTTTGTAGTGGTAGAATGATGATTTTACATAATATTTTAAATATTTTTTTTTTAGATTTCATGATATTATAATTATATTTGATACGTGATTAATTTATTGAATTATTTCATAGGTATTAGATAAGTGATAATGATAAAGGGATAAAAAAATAAAAAAAAAGAGAAAAAGAAAATTTTGAAAAATTAAACTTTGGACGAGGAAGAAGATGAGGAGCAGAAGAGAGCAAGCTGCGCTCCTAGAATTAAACAAATCGAGGGACATTTGGCAGGTGGGGCGTTGGATTGGGTAGGGAGGTATTGGGTGTGGTGGGGTGTTGGGGGAGAGGGTGAGGGTTGAATTTTTATTTAATTTTGTAATTAATTTTTAAAATTTTTTTAGATAAAATTTAATTAAAGATTTTGAAAATTTATAATTAAAAAAATAAGAGATTAATAATTTAATATAAAATATATAGAGATTTTAGATGAAAATTTTTGATAAATTTTTTTGTATAAATTAAATGAAAAATAATTAAAATTAAATATTATATTTTGATTGTGTTATAATTAATTTATAATTTTGTATCTGAAGTTTAATTTTTTTGTTGTTTTGATATTTATATTATTGTCAATTCTTTTGATATTAGATTAATTCTTGTTATTTTTGTGTAATTATTAAAGATTGTATTTATTATATAATTATTGAAAGTTATTTGTGATAAAAAAATTTATATCAATTAGTGTATAAAAAAGATTAAGTTATTTAATAAATTTAGCATTTTATAATCTATTACTCTTACTAAAATTAAAAGCTAAAAAATAAAAAATATATGTTTGAAAATTTTATGAATGCTTTTTATAATCTAAATAAAATTGTGAATAATTTTTTTAAAAAAATAAAAAATATTGAGTGTCATAAATTATTTTAAAAATCATTGAATAAGAATTTTTATAATTATAATTATAATTATTATATTTTATAATAAATTGTGTAAAAAAAAATTCACGATCACGATGATCGCATTAACCGCAATGATCTCTGTTATAGTTGAAAACACAATAAATACGACGCGATCGAAAACATGAGCGTGATCGTTATTTAAATCGTGACTTTATGCTGAATTCAAATGCTTGATAAGGAGAACCAAACTCCCAGCATTGTTTGAAGGCAGGCTAAGCTCTTCAATAAGACCAAACTATTAAAGTTTTTTATACTAAAATTAAACAAAAAACCATTCTTTTGTTTCTACAACAGTTTCAAAGCCAGACATGATGAAGGAGAAATTAATAAAGCAACAATTTAAAAAAAAAAAGGGTTAACAGAACTATATGGGAAGCATCAAAATTAAACCATCCATTCCAATCTTAATTATTGTAAAGCAAACAGCTAAAACAATTAATAATCAAATTGGAATCGACTAGACGATTGATGATAGCCCAGATAATGTTGCAATAATGGTTAAAATTCTTGTTTTTCTAATGCAATGGAGAAGGATAAGAAGATGGTGATGGAATTGGCACGTCATGTTCACAAGCCTTAGCCTCCTCCGAGGCCGCAAGTGCTTCAACTCTCACCCCATGATAGTCACGTTTGCTCAGCATCCGCTTCGCATCCTTGATGGCACCCACGGCCTCTTCATAGTTCTTAGAAGAAAGCAGGTAACTTTCTCTCGCATTGTAGTTCTTGGCTTCTTTGATGAGTGGATATATCGCCGCTTGGGTTACATTTGCCCAGGCGAGTGCTAGTTGGATTGAGATTTTAACCAGGCCATGAAGATTGGTTTGTTTGCATGGAGAGTTTCGTTGGTGAGGACTCGAAAGCGGAAGGAAGGCGATTGAGTTTTGGAGCAGATGGTGTTGATTTCAGCGTTGATTACGTTTGGTCTTGGCTCTGCAAATGATGGGTTGGTGAAGAAAAATGCAAGAGAAAGAGCAACAAGCAGGAGCCACCAAACAAGGCATATCACTTCAGTTGTAAGCGTACGTAGCCAGCAACACTACTGTGATATAATATATATATATATATATATATATATATATATATCGGAACAGTTGAGTAGATTAACTATTAAACAGAAATTTAAGACGGTCAGAAAAAACTGCAGATGACATTTAGGATGGAAAGGAAACCGGTAACCCGATGGAGTACCAGTCTCTTGAAGTTTATGCATAACTGCTGAGCAAGCTTTAAAACAAGCAATTACTGTGCGAGGAGAGGACATTATGCACGTAAACTTCTCTTGCAACCTTTAAACGCCATTTTTAATGTCATACCGATTGGCTCATGTCTTATTTATTTGTTTTATTTGTAGTCAATCCCTAGTAACAAAAGAAATTACCGTTTCTTGTTGGTAGCTTCGACTGAACTCAAAATAAATTAGATTATATCGAGGTTTTGGGTTTTTATCTTGTATTATATGCTTGTCCTACATGCCCCAATTGCTTAAAATTGTCCAAACATGAACAATATTGTGTCCAATCTTACAGTAATTTGCACAGATCCTGTGTCTTGACACAAGTTACATGGTGATGGATAACAACGGAACATAGTTGAGAAATGAATATAAAGAAAACAAAAACATTAGACATTCAAATGTTCACATTCTTCTAGTTTTATAAAATAAAAATATATATATATATATATATTCTCTTTGAGACAGTTGCAACTGCATTTTATGCTTTCCTTGTAAGAATTTTGTGGTGAGAAATGATATAGGATGTGGATCTACCATTGGTCCCATACTTGCTTTAGAGGTTGCGGTTTATACTGTTGATTGTGGCATTACTCAGCTTCCTATTTATATGCACAGGTATATTGTACTATGTTACTGAATTTATGCAGTGGAGCTACACAATTAAGCCTTCTGTCAATGCACAATAACTTGCAGCATATAGGATTTATATATTGTTGCATTTGCCCTATTTATAACATGCGTGATTCCAGAAATATGCCCACTGTTTTTGACATGTAAAACACGTCTAACTAAATTTATTCTTAACGAATCATCTAATACATGGTAAATGGAGTCATAGAACATGATTATGGTAAAGGTTTGGGTGGTTCGTTATAGTTTGGGTTGGAAGTGGAGCTAAGACAGGAGCCTTGTTCTGGATTGGAGCGTCCTTTTGCGACCTTTTGCTTCAGCTCAGACAACAAAGCCTGGTTCTCATGGTTGAGCTGTTGAGCCTGCCTCCTCAACCTTTCATTTTCTTTGATTATGCAGTAGTTCTTCCAATATAGCTGTGAGTTGAGTTTATCCATCTCAGAGCTGTTTTTGGTTGCCCCCGAATTTGTTTATGCAATCGAAGATGTTAACTTTAGATGAATAAATAGAACGACAGATATTAGAGAACTACAATCCTGAATCATAAAGAAAGCTGGAAGATAGAGAGCAAGAGCCCAGAAATGAAGAACAAACACAATTGAATGTTGATGAGCTGTTGAGATTAGAAAGAAGATGAGAAGCAAACCTTGAATCCTTCAAGTAAGAGCATTTGGCATTGGTTTGAATACATGGTTGACTGAAAATGGGAATAAAACAAGGGTTCTAAGACTTAAATGGGTTACGCAAAAACAACAAATACCATCTGCAAAAGCCCCATTGTCTGCCTTTTTCCAGTAGATATTGATTATATTATAACTTTAACGGTTTAAAAATACAAGAGAGATTGAGAGAGGGGTCATGACTCATGGCTCCGATATGAAAAGAAGAATAAAGTTTATGAAGTTGTTAGAAGAATGCATATAAAAGTGGCAGCTTAGAAAAAGAGAGATGCTTAAGGGACAAGAAGAGGTATCAATGCTCGATAGAGACTGTGATAGAGATTGTGATGTGCATATGTTGAGGTTCATGTGATGGCAGCTCCGCATCATATGCTTCTTTTTTTTTTTCTTTTTGAAATGCTAAATGCTCTTAAGATAAATAATGAGTTTTTTTCCCCAAGCTAGGATTGTTTGATCTTATTTCCCAAATCGAGGTACTTTTATGGGTTCGTACTAGAAATGAAGGATGAGTTTAAGAAATTCTTTGTATTTCCCGTATCAAGAGAAGAAAATAGGGATGATGGTTAATCTCCCCTCATCAGAGAGTGTACATCATCTGCAACACCAACAACCCCCACCATCACAAGGTGGATTTGACAAGCCAACAAAGTTTACAATATCCAAATTAGAGGTGTACACTGTGTGAGATTCGAATCAAGCTATGATATTAACATTTTACATGCTTGACTTAATCTGACTTGACAAATTTAAACCTCAAATTCTGCTCAAGCCCTTCCAAATGATTAAATATTAGTACCCAAGCCTCCCAAGATAGTTTTTTCTTTTAAAAATAAAAATAAAAAAATGATATTTTTTATTTAATCTTTAGCAATTTTTCTTTTTTTTATTAAATTTAATACATGGATTAACTTAACAAATTTTCTAATATTTACACTACAATAAATTAATATGTAACATATTTCATATAATTCAAACCGGAGCAAGCTCAAGCCTTGAATATTAAAGCCAAAGCTCAATCCGTTCTTTAAAAAAATCTCATTGTTTGCCCAGACCTGTTTGATGGCCTCATTGTGCAAATCCCCTTTAAAATGTTACAAGCTTTTGGATAAATCTGACCCTTGGATCAATTTAATTCAAATAAAGACTTTTGAGTGAAAATAATTGAATAGAGACTAATTGTTGTAATTTTTTCGCTATTTACTTCTGCATGGAAAGCAAAGATTTTCCCTTATGTTTTTCTATCATAAGACAACGCCAAACATGTATATTAACCACAAGTTGCCATGTTTCTAAACTTCATGTAAACATTCGAACATTTATGGACAGATTTCTGGCATGAAAGTCTGGTACACAAGTATTGACAAACACCACCGGCATTTAATCATATAAAATGTATAACCTAATGAAATAAAGGGAAAATGTCAGGTACTCAAATATTTTCATTATCTAGTTTGATAGTTTTCGCTCTGAATACTTGTTGAACACATGAATGTCATTAACCTGATGAACCAAAGAAAAGCACGCACACGACTAGATCCTTGGTAAATTTCAATGGGCACAGTTTATTCTACCATCTGTTGAGGCTGCAGAAAGAAATTGCGACCCATTTCACTAGCTATGGGTTAAGTTTGCTCTTAAAGTAAAGCTATAGCATTATCTGTCCTATAATGGTTATATATGCCAGTCATTGCTTGGGTAAAGTAACCAGCAGAAAACACTACTCGTTTTCCTAGTTTGCTCCTACAACTCAACTCTCAGAACATCCAGATGTGGGAGTGGAAATCAAGACCACACATACTCGGACACCTAGCTAAAATATTAATAAACTTTAGCTCGTAATCAAAAGGTTCAAAATAGGCAGGATCAAATACTTATATGATACGTAATCTGGTTGCATTATTATTTCAGCAAACAATTTTTACAGTAAAGGCATATTATTTCACAGTGAAAGCTTTACCAAAGGGAGATGCTGCACATTCAAAGGCCAACAGGACAGAAGCAGTTTGCCCACTTCTAGACATCTTCCCAGTTCCCTTTGGCTCCTCATCTAGCTGTAAGATAATAGATAATGTCATATTTATATGGAAAATAATCTAAAAATCTAATAAAGAACATAAATGCAATACAGAAATAAAATGTTTATTTTGCCAAACAGGCATGATGCATGTGAGACATACCTTCATCATCGATGAGCGATTACATTCTTAGCTCCAATAATTCTGATCTACTTTCCATCATCATCAACCGCAATGATTATGCTAAAACCAAACAAGCTTCTCCAACATTTTCCAAAGATACAAGAAGCTCCAAGATAAATCGAGGGTGGTGGAATGTATCAACACGTATCCATCAAAATGATGTAGCATTCCAGTTCACCCCGGTTCTCTATGCCTGCACTACTGCCAGTTTTGATTACTCTTAACTGCATTGATCCATCATATTCCAAATCAACTTTTAGCTGGCAGGGTGCAGGCATGGCCCAAGCCCCTCAACGGGGCCGGGCTAATCCAAAACTAGCATCAGGCTGCTGTTGATGAGACTATAAATTCAATGATTCAAAGACCAAAATCAGAAATTGGAACTCAAGAGACAAACAAATACCTGTAGGCACAAATTTTTTTCCTTCCAAGAAATGATGCAGGGATTCAGTCTACCCAAATAAAAAATAAGCCATCTTCATGAAGAATTACTAGGTCAACACGTAAATTCTGCTTTTGATCTGAAACAAGATTTTTTCATTTCCTTTTTTATTTTTTATTTTTCATGCTTCTAATATTTCACAGCTTTTTTGATGGTGCTTGCTGTTTTCACGATTGATTGTTTATTTGCATAAATTTTAAAGTAAAGCATCTCATTTATAACTGATTACCCCATAATATCTGATACTCTTTCCAATACATAATGTCAGTCCCATCATGAATAAATTTTAAAGGAAAGTATCTTATTTATAATAGATTTTTACTGTTTGCCCTCAGTGGTCAGGAAGAAAAAGGGCATCTAGGAGAGAAAGCAATTAACTATCATACTTAACCATGATTATAAATTATATAGACTGATCTATTCTGCATCCTAAGCTCAAGATTGAACTTAAAACCTAGCAGGAGAAATTTTGTTGGTCACTTGCTGCAAGTGATGATGCTAAGACTGGAATGTTGTTTGAAGATGGAATCCAAACCTAAACATGGTTAAGTGTTTACTAAAAAAAGTGACTAAAACCTATGCATCAGAGGAAGGAACAAAAAAGGTGTGTATTTTACTAAGATTAGGAAGGAGAGTTGTGAAGTTGCTATACCTGCGAAAAAGGCTGGTGAACATGGTCATGAGGGCGGAAGAAAGGCATTCCAGGATGCTGACAAGGATACTGAGAAGAATGTAAATATATGCCAGGTGTGGAGCATGCACCAACATGATTTGGATTAAAAGATGGTATCATTGTTTCAGGATGACCATAACTAATTCCTGCAGCAGTTGATGGTACCGGCCAGGGCCCAGGTAAATGTTGTGGAAGAGGTCGAAGTTGGTGTTCGGTAGATATCTGAGGCCTATGAGTAGATCCAAGTTGTGGAAATTCAGTGTTGTAGTTAATTGAAGGGGTGTACATAGGCTGCATTGTATATGGTCCACTATTGAACCTAAACCCAGGATCAAATCTTTGCATGTACCTGAAGGAAAACAATCACTATATAAACTTTTTGCCTTATGAAAAAAATGGCTTTGCAATACCTAAGTAGCATATATAACTTAACAAATAAAAAACAAATGCAATTGCCATAGGTCAATCCAGCATGATCTTAGCAGCATGTGGAATTGAAAATATAATTGATATTGTTAAGATTTTTATCAACATTTCTCTCTTTCCTCAATTTGCAATCAAAGAAAATATTTCTATCATGTAAGATAATGAAAAATCAAAGGCAGACCTTTAGATTGTTAGTAGACTTGTACAAAAGTATTAGCTAATAGTTCTATTATAATGATTAGAATATTTGATGACATTGAGGAGCCGACTGTTATTAGGTTCCATCCTATTGACTGAAACCGTTTTATTCCCTTGTTTACACTTCCCACCCAAGATTTTGCATATTTTCAAAAGGCCTTGTAGTAGCAGGCATATATCTCTTCTCAATAAATCAGGATAAGCTTAATTGTGGTAGTTAACCTCATAAAGATTTACTGTTTTCCCTTTTCTTTTTTTTTTTGAAAAGTTGAGTTATTTGATGGTGGAGGCCAGAACAGGGGCTTAATTTAATAAACTACTAAAGACAATTTGACACCAATATGAAGTTTTTCTTCTACCAATTACCTCTCAATTCTCTAATTAATGGATGTATAAGTTTTTACAAATGGAAAGTTCCTCTTTCCATTCCTTTTCAAAAAATATAAGTATACCAGGACAACCATGTGTTCATATATTAAAAAGGTATCAGAAAAGAAAAAGATGATAGTGAAATAAAAGGGGTTGAAATTAAACAAATGAAGAGAATTTATGAAAAGAATAAGAAAATAAAGATATTTGAACCATACAGATCAAAATCAACAACATGGATCAGACAGAACAAAACAATATGAATGGTTATTCATATTTATAAATGATAAGGATGAGACTCTTCATCATCCTGAAAACAATCATAGACTCATCCACTCTTCATTGAAACAGTATAGAGATAAAAATTGTTCTCAAGCCTTGTTTTACAATAGTAAAATAATGACTCATGTTGCAAATTAACCATATAACTTTCAACATTAACTTCAATGAACCTTGCAAAGCATGAGACTCCAGAAAAAAAATCAGAAAATCTAGTACCCTACAGGAAACAAAAATTAAAATAGAGGCATACCTATCATAATTTCTGTCATAATCAGGGTCTTTGCGTTCAGTCTCACGATCCCGAAAGATGGCCACCCTATTATTTGGTTTACTCCTACCAATTGGTTCCTTTTCTGTCCTACTTCTAGCTGACCTACTACTACTTGTAGAGGATTCAATCAAACCCCTACCAAAATTTATGTCAGAAACCACTGAAACAGGTTTCTCTTCCATCTTTGGCATTCCTGAGGAACTGTGGTAGGAAATATCCTGCAACCTCAGTTCACTCTCTGATTTTCCACCAGAACCACTGGTAGAACTATTAGAGTTAAAAATCCTTGCTCTAGCTTGGTTATACTCCTCTTTTCTTTCTTCCACACTTTTGCTGTTGTTTGACTTCAAAGAATTTGAATTTGAATTGCTGGTAAGCTGAGACCTTTGCTGTGGCCTCTGTTTAATTGCCACCTTAACAACACCAGGGTCTTCTGATGGTAAATTTACAGGGATGTCTGCCAGGCGAACAAGAGGAAGCCTACATTCAGAAGTCTTACGGACAATAATTCTAGAACCAGAACCATCAGGTGTATTATTGTCTAATAAAACCATTGACTGCAGTGAATAATGCTGCGCCACACGATGTGCAGCCAACCTTAAATATGACGTAGGCAGCTGCTGGAACTCCAATTGCTGCCGAATAGGATCACGGATAAATTTTTCAACATCTTGCTCCATCCTCAGGACTGAAAAAAGAGATTAAGAGTTTTCACTTTATGAGTACAGTTAAGCACTCTTGCTCAAATATAAGATGGAGGCCACTCATTCTTTGAAGATACAATAGTACCCAAATCAATAAGTGCCAGAATATGATGCTTTCAAATAAAAAAAATGACAACCACATCAATAATGACAACATTACTGTTTCCTCATAAACAAAACAATTGCAAAATGATAACTATCAACTTCACAGGTAACTGAACATTAAGAAACAAAAGGGCATACTTCTTAAAATGCAAGAAGAAGCACGTAACAGAGAAACAGAATGCAGAACAGCTTCATTTGCAATAGTAAAGCAGACTCCTTGAGCAGCTTAGAGCTTATCAAGGGATGAATAACCAAAAACCAACTCTCACTCAGATTACGGGGTTGTTTTGACTTCTTTGCTACCTTAATTACCTAGTGAAAGAAGTCAATTGTACTTTAAACCTCCCTTATCCTCCAGTAATATAAAAAATAGCTAGTCTAAAGTTCTTGGAATGCTTAAATGCTACATGTTTCCTTTGGCAGTTTCAAGCAAATTTTTGTAAACAAAACTCTTCAACAATCTCAAGAAAAATTATTCAATAATCAAGTTGATTTCGTTTGGAGCCAAACATTCGAAATAAATCAATTAATTAATGAAAATTAAAATAAATGACAAGAAAATTATGATTGAACAATAGTTACATTAAATCCTTTCTTTTTTTAATCTTTGTTCTACAAAAATTTACCACCATATAAAGTGATATACAAGGGACATTAATATACTCATTATAGCTTTGGTGATAGTGATACTCTAAACGTATATGAGAATGGATAAATAGGCTCTTCTGCTAAATTAAAAAGGAATCCTAAAAGAAATTATCAACTTATTTTCCCATTAAAATTATGTACAGCATCTACTCTCTGTTCACAAGGGCTGGAATCTAGACACGGAACAGTTTACCCAAATTATTGGTATTTCTTATCAGTGAAACTTGTTAAGTAACTATTTAACACCACATTTGATCCATGCCAGTTGTTCCACAGAGAAGAACATGGTGCAAAACAGATATTAACCATAAACAATTAAGCATAAGAACTGAAAATGAAATTATAGCTAGCTTATGGACCAAGAGGTCTGATAGGCTAGATGCAAAATCAAAGACTAAGCATTTATAGCAGACATCATACATTCGATTAGCAGTTTAATTGTTGGAGAAGCAGACTCCCCTAAATTACATGGCAAAAATAATTATACTATCAAACAGATAAGTACACCAAGCACCCATGGCAGACATTATATATTATACTGCACATGGAAAAAACTATTATGTTGCAAAATGTATGTGTTACAAAGAAACTGTCCATTAAACATCAACCTCATAACAATATTTAACTAACGTGAAAGTATTAGAACATACAAAATAAAGTACATGTACAAGCTGTAATTTGAGGAAATTTAATAAGAGCAGAGAAGCATAAATCGAAATAGACCAAACAACTTTAGTCTAATAGCTGACCTTAACACCACTCCACAAACATAACTTATTGCATAGAAAGGTACATGGACCAGATATGTTCACTGCAGAAATGTCTGGCACCTCATGTGGCCAATACATTTGTAAATAACATGAAGTTAGAAATATATCAATCCCAGATGCATGTTTTACACAATAAAAATAACAATCCAATGTAAATGTTTAACTATGGAAACAACATTTAGAGCAGAGAATAAATACTTGTTTTCTGTAGATTTAAAATTGGGAAAATGAGATAGCATATAAATAGTGTTAAAGTCATTTGTTCTTCAAAGAAACCCTGCCTTTCCACCAAATTTGTTGAAAAAGCTAAAATTGACCCCTTAATTCATTTGAAAGTTTTTAAACCACAATCACTCTTATAACCAACTAATAATTGATCAATACCTTTAAAACCACAAAGTGCATTAGAAAGCCTTCCAAATTAATCTGACTGAATTTTTTGCATCATAATAGTGAACTAACATGGCATCCTAACTTTCTTTTTCAATCATTCAATTTTCGATATGATCCACAATCAACCAGTGCCATCCATATATACTTTAATACCACTCCCACATGCTTCCTTAAATGCCCAACTTTTAAAAGAGAGTCACTTTAGTTATGGCAACATACAATGCTGAGACTCTTCTAAGAATCTCTTCATCTTATCTTATCAAATCTCTCACGAAGCCTGACCATGTTGAAGAACTTAATTCTGGTCATTGGAAAATAATAAGTTACGACATGCCACTTGCAATGTTAGCATATCAAATGCAGCATTACAAAGTTAAGCAATCCAAAGTAATAAAACATAACAAGCAAAGCTGGATTAGCATGTTGCAATTCAGGATATTAATTATTAAATATCAGACAAGCACGCACCAAGAACATGATTAGTTCCAAGAAAAAGACAGTTCTTTTAATTCATTTTTTTGTTTCTTAGTTCACCAACTACTAGGATAAGGCCCCTGAAGCAGCGCATTGGTTCGGAATAGGGCGAGACCTTAGAAAAAATTAGGCCAACAAGAAACCCTAAACAAGGGGAAGGAGTATGCGATAACCCGATCATCTAAATTTCTTGTTCCAAACAAAAAGTTACAATTCCTAAATCCACGAGCCCTAGCGAATTATTTGCAAAAAGAAACGAGACTTACTGGAAAGGCGCTCGCGAGGGTTTTGGATAGCCTCGCGGAGAAACTGATCAACCTGGTTAATGACATCCTCCGCAACCACCTTCTCAGCCGAAGCCGAAGAAGCAGAAGCTGAAGCTGAATAAGAAGTAGCATCAGGAAATTCTGATTTGGCTTCCTTGTTTGAAGAAAGCATCAAGCGGCTCATGGTGGCATCCAAATCGGCCACCTCCCAGGACTCCGGCGCCCCGAGATCCTCCACCACAGACCCTTCCATGGTGGAACGAGTACCCGAATTTGCCTTTCGAGATCTCTATTATCAATCACAAGAAGGAAATAGAAGCTAGGGTTTCTTGAGAGAAGAATGTATAAGGGAGAGAGATAACCTACAATCTGTAAATTTCATGAGAAATTATATTGAATTGGGTTAGGGTTAGGGTTTGGAGATTTAGCATTTGGGAGAGTGCGCGCGAGAGAGAGTTGGAGATGATGTTAGTACATTTTCCACTACGACCTTTATTTATAGTTATATCTTTATAATATTCATTTTTAAGGAAAATATTTTTTATTATTAGAGAGGGAAAAGAAAGAGAAAAAGAGGGGATATGGTTTGAGATTTGATCACGAGTTTGACTTTGATTGATACATTGCACAAAGCTGTGTAATAGTCTCTTCCACGTGTTTTTTTATTTATATAGATGAAATTTTAAAAATTTTATTAATTATAATAAAAATTGTCATTAGAGTTTAAAAATTTTATTATTTATGAATTGTTATACCGATTCACATTGTTCATTCTTTATATTTGTTAAGTTAGTATACGTCTGACTATTATATCTCCACCAAGTATGATTGATGTTCAAATTCTTTACCACAATACAAGCTTGCTCCTCTCTATTCATCCATGAAAAAAGCTTAACTAATTATCACCACTAATATTTCATCGATACATAATCTCACAAATATATCAATTGATATTCAATTTACTTAAAATAATTATTATAACTTATACTCATATGATTTATTTTCTAATTTTATATGAATTTTTTATCATTTGTTATCAACTCTAATCATATCATTATCTATTATCTCATACATAAAGTAAAAAAATTTATGTACACAATTTTGAATCTTTTTTCTTCAAGCCTATTCAATACTCCTTACAACTTACCTTTTCTTTCTTCCAATCATAACCTCATCGTAACCTTTTCTTCAGGTTTATTCAATACTCCTTACAAGTTCACTATGATCAAATAACATAAAGCACAATGCAATTAATCTTATCCATGACTCCAGCATTTGGCACACCAAGTTCTACCCTCATTGATTCACCCAAATATGACACTTCTCCATTATTTTGTCCCATATCAACACCCTAGGTCCCCATATAAATTTGTGCGCCAATATTATTCTGATGCCAACAATGGCAACCACAACTGGCCTTCCCTCAGTCACTTGCTGCACACCACTAGTCTTTGGCACATTATTCCCTTAACAAACAAAAGGCTTCTTGGATTTCATTGCTGCTTGCTTCACTACAACATCAACACAAGTACACAGCCACAACAAGAAACCACATGAGTATACATTTTAATACATGCAACTTGGCCAACAAAGCAAACAATACAAAAAGAATTAGCTTGCCTTTTTTACCCCACAAATCTTTTTTTGGGTTGGCACTTTTAACTTTCCTTCTGGTTTAGCTTACCTCCACCTTGCTATTTCCCTTGATCCAACACCTCCTGCACGATAGTAGCCAGGCTCAGGTTCTCATAATAAAGCAATAATCGCTGATGTTCTCATGGGTGGTAAACGATAAGTATGACAACTTCTCATCTTTCAATATGTTCACCTATTTTGCCTTATCATCTCCAAGTTTCAAAATTCCCTTCCCCAACACACTGGCATAGGACCACCTAATTGTGAAGGAAAAATGCATAACAGGAGTTTTTGTGCGAGCCACAACGAACTCATTATAGTTGGATGGTTATTCGAAGACAACTCAACCTACTTGTTCACCCCTGAGCTTGAAAATAGTAAAGCCACCCATTGATCTTCCTCAACATGTATAACGTCAACACCATGTTCAATTATGGGACCCATTTCATGAGTCGTCAAAAAATGAAGTAAGTCACCAGGATTCCTTAAGCATTTGGCGCTTGCTGCGATACGGCCAAAATAGAGGTAGCCAACACCAGATGGAAAAGGGAGTATAGCAGAATGAAGAACTCATGTCGAAAATTGTATAGATAAATCCCCCTCATTCCTTCATTGGATCCCACTTGACTCCTAATAAAACCTTTGAAACGGCAAGGAAACGGAGAACATCGAGTTCTTTATATTAAATGCCACGTAGTCCGAAGCCTAGTTTGCCATGCTTGTTATTGCCACTAACCGGTACACATCTAGTGGTCACGTCCCTGGTTCAAGGCTTTCTGTTCCTACGACTCTTCCATAACAACCTCTTTCTTTTTCCCTTTCCCTTTCCCTTATCCCCACACAAAGCACCCACATCTTAAACAACGATGCCACAACCCCAACCACCATTCCCCTGTGCCTCTTGGGCTCCACTATCCTTTTCCATAGGCATTTTCTCCATTTTTTGAGACCCACATCGACCCCACCATTAGTGACTGGCATTATAGTGCCACATTATCACTTGATTCTTTTATCATAATTATTCTCTTTTGGGCCATTTTCTTAACTTAAAATTAAACGAAGTAAAACCTCAAAAAACTCAAAATTTGACCTACCCACAAATGTTTTTTGAAACCAACGGTATACAACAACACACAAATATCTCAAACACCAAAAAACTTCTCTTGCTTTAAAAATTGATAAAACAAGTTAGCAATCCCTCTTTTTCTCCTATTTATATCCAGCCAAAAGTTTCAATTGAAACGACATGAATTAAAAACCCATTCGAACCAATCATTGAAATAATTCAAATTAATTCTCCAACCAAGACTGACACTTTAATTGCACTCTTTTTCAAAAAACACAATTATTCCCTTCTTAACTTAATTTGTACAATTTAAAATTTAAAAGCAATAAATTTTTCTGATAACCTTTACACACTATTGCACTACGTGTCCTACAAAGCCACATAATTTAGAAACATGAGCTTGTGTCTCAGAATGCACTTGAAGACGCGTTTTGTTTACTAGCACCACGCTTGCTCCATAGCATATAAGATTGAAAAAATTTTTAAGTCCTTACCAACTGTTTCCTATGTCTCATCATAACAGGTCATCAATAAGGCTTATTAAAGCAAAAGCCCTTGACCAATAGGTACTCGTCACAAACAAGGCTTACAAAGGCAAAATTCCATGACCAATAAGGACACATCGTCAACAAAGTTCACCAAGGTAAAGTACCTCGACTCGAACTTCTTGCCAAGAACTCGAAGAAATGGCTACACAAAGGTCCGAGGGTGGTCACTTTATAACCCTTTAAGATTAAAAGATAATTGTTATACCTATTCACTTAATCGACAAGGTCAATACGAGCAATTGTTATGTCTACTCATACAAAGTTAGCATAAGCCTGATTGTTACTGTCACGTCATCACTAAAAGATAATTCATATATAAACTCCTCGTCACAGTACGAGTTCACCTTTATCTCTTCATCTATAGGAAAAGCTCGCTCAACTGTTATATATATATTCTATCAACGCATCACTTTATAATAGAATAATTGATTTGTAATTTATTTAAGATTATTACATGTAATTTATATTGATTTGATATCATTAAATATAATTTACATTCATACATATAATTATTTTTTAAATTTTACATGAATTTTATATTAATTTTCATAGACTCAAATTACATCATCGCTCATTATTTTATATATAAAATAAAATAGAGGTCTAATTACACAATTTTGAATCTTTCCTCTTTAAGCTTATTCAATACTCCTTACAATTTACCTTTTCCTTCCTCAATTCTTAACCTCAGACAATAGACTAACTTGACTGTCGGAGCATTTATCAAAGAATTAACTCCGGCTCTTCTTGATTATACTTTTTGGTTGCAGGTCCAAACTTTCCTTGAACCACCTTCCACATCATCCTCTGAGCTTCTTAGCTCACACCTCCCAAAACACCGTCAACATGAATAAAAAAATATCTGTAAAATTTATAATTTTCATTAATTATAAATAACAAAATTTTTGTATGCTAAGAGTCCGTTTTCTATATTTGGTTTTAGCTAAAAAGTCCGTTTTTTATATTAGATTTTTTAAAAAAATTTTAAACTAAAAAATAATAATTGATTGAACAAATATCGCACTCAAATTATTTTGAAAATCATTGTTGGTAGAATATTTTGACCTTGTTATTTGATTTTTTTTAATTAATTGATTCATTCATCTAAAAAATTAAATAATTTTTAATTTTAATTAAAATATAAAATAATAATAATAATAAGTTGGAAAATTATACTTCAAAATATAAAAACACTTTGATTTAAAAGATTAGATCAAAACAAATCACTTCGACCCAAAATTAAGTTTTTATTTTTATTATATTTTTTTAGGTTAAATTTTCTCCATTAATTTTTCATTATTTATTTATATAATCAACGATATTTTTAACATAAAAATAATAAATTTTTTTTCATAAAGCATATGAATATTATGAGAATATCAAATTTTAAAATATTTAAATTTAATATTTAGTATATGGAGATTATAATTTAGTTGTTGGCTGAACCATATAAACTATTTGATCACAAATTATAAATTTTTAATTTAAAATTAATCAATTCATATTTGCCGTTAAAAAACCTTTAAAAGGATCCATTGGTTGACATATATTTTATAGTAAATGATTGACATTTTGATGATTTTAATTTAATTAATTAATAATTACCAATGAGTTTAGATAATAATTTATATAGTTTTAAAATAAAAATTTTGTAAGATATAATTGCATTGAGCTTATTAAAGAGTTAATATTTAATAAATTTAGTAATTATAATTATTTAGGTATTTAATTAACCGAGTTCAAACACTTAATTAATAATTAAAAAAAATCAGAGTCTATTAAATATTTATTATTTATAATTATATATAAAAATAATATATTAACATTAATTAATTATTCAATTCAAATAAAATTTAAATTTAATTAAATTATTATCAAATTAGAGTCGTATTCAAATAACCCAACTTACCATTTTAAATTAAATTTAAATATTTTAATATTTGTTTCAAATAATTTATAATTCTAATCAAATTTTTATAATTTAATATATTTTTATTATTTTAATTAATAATTTACTTTCTTACCCTTAATATAATTAACCTAAAAAAGCCCAATCTTTTTCATTTTATTCTTACCCACTTCCTCCACGGCTCCCCCACCCCACCAAAAGGCCCGTCTGCGGCGTCCCTTCTTCTCACTCTCTCCCAATCCTTTCCGACGCCGGTGTAGTAGCCAGCTAACCATTCTTCCGACGCCGGCTTAGCCTTTGTCACTCCCCCAATCCCAGGCCAACAGCGCTCCCTTTCCTTTCATTCTCTCCCGATCATTTCTGGGTTAGTCCCTCTCTCACTCGTCGATCATTTCTGGTAACTTTTTAGTATTTTGGATGCTTCTTATGTTTCTGAATGGGTCACTTTGACAGTGAAATTTGGGAACTTTGTGATTTGGTGGTATGAGGAATTTGTGATCCAATGGATCCATGTTTTTCTTTGATTGTCTTCAGGGTCTATATTCTATCTGTTTCCCAAATGTAATGTGATTGAATTTCTATGCTTTGTCTATTTAACTTTAGTTTGTATCATGTTCTTATTCCGTATGTTGGTTAAATGTTTGGTGGACGCCATTTGCTACGGTTTTCTTCAGTTGTGAATGTCTATTTCATATTAATAAAAGTCTAACTAAGCAAAAAAATCTCAAATTTGGGCTGCCTTATTTGGTGGGTGCAATTGGTTTTTGAGCAAGAGTTCCAAACTGAAATAAAATAACAAAGGCATGATGAAAATTAGTATTGAAAAGCAATAAAAAAAAATGCTAGGGAAAGTGCTCTTTATTCTCCATTTATTCTTTTTTATTATAATCACCGTTCATTTCATTTCTCAATAGAAATTCTAAAAACACTCACTTTTTATATACAATATATTTGTAAAAAATTTTAATTCTGAGTTCGAGTATAAATAGTCGAGCTTAAAATCAAGTTGAAAATTGAGCTTGTTTTGTACATAGTAATTGAGCGAGTTCGAGTAGCTTATTTTTATCTCGAGTCGAGCTTGAGCTAAAAAAATGGAGCTTGATCAAGCTCGAGTCGAGTTTTGAGTCTTGAATTTGAAGTCAAGCTTGAGCTCGAGCATTCCATTGTATCGGCTCGAACTTGATTGATTACATCCCTATTTGTAACTTGATAGCTCAAGGCAATTCGGTTTTTTTCTTTGACAAAAGGAGAAGAAGTGGCGATGAAAGGTGTTGGAAGATTGATCAGGCGAGCTATGCTTCACCGGCAAACATGCCAATCTCTCTTCCCTTCCCAGTTAATCTCTCGCCGTCTCATATTCTCTTCTTCTATAACGCCATCCTTGTTGGTGGTTGGAAACCCAAGCCATGTCCTTTCCTCCAATTTTGAGTCGTTAACATCTTCCTTGCTTCCTCTCAAATGGACCCATTTTAGAGGTTGGTCTGTTTTCTTTTGTTTCTCTTTTTTTTGCCTTTTGGCCTTTGGGGTTGTATTAGTTTGATGGTTTTCTTTACGGTTGCAGGGCAAAGGAGGAGCATGTTTATCCAAACTCAGTCGACACCCAATCCTTCATCTTTGATGTTTTATCCAGGGAAAACGGTTATGGAAGTTGGGAGTGCTGATTTCCCAAATGCTCGTTCTGCCATGAATTCGCCATTGGCCAAGGCCTTGTATGGAACTGACGGTAAGAGTGATGATAGTAGACTAAAGCAAATAATCTACTTTTCTGCTATTTTATGTCATTTTGTCTGAGTGGAGGTAAAAGTAAGCCTGTAATATTGCGGAGGCATCCCCAAGGGGATACCTCAGAGGTTAGAGCTTGAAATCACCATTTGGAGGTCTCAAGTTCAAATTCTGGGATGTATGTAGTGGGATTAATGAGATGGGAGAGGGCTGCCTCCCATTGTGTGGCTCAGTTTCGTGTGTACCTAAAAAGTAGTATTGCAGAAGTGACCTGGCTTCTTCTCACTCAGGCTTTATAACTTACAATGAAGCCCTACTTGGTATGGTAATTAAGCAACTTGAGATCTACTTGATTAAGCTTGATTATCTTCAAAATAAAATCTAGATTGACTACAAAGCATGAGCTTTTGAGCTCAACTATTTTTATTTATGTTTTCTTATTAAAAAATTAAATAGAAAAGTTTGATTAGGATTTAGGATTGCGAGCTGCTTTTGGAACTAGATTAAAATGTTCTAACTAAGCTCTCTAAAATATCGAGCTACGTGATATTGAGTTTGACTTGACAGTTATCAACTTGAATTTGAGTGTTTATGAAGTAGAATTCAAGTAGCTTGTGAGTGGGCTTGAGTAGCTTACACCTTTATAGTCTACACTAAATTCAAGTGTTTTTACCAAGATGAAGTTTAAGGGTAAAAGTGATATGGAAGGAATAAAGAAGTTACTGTTGAAGTCATTAATTAAAGGGTAAACCTCATATACACCCATGTGGTTTGCGACTTTTCCACTTTCACCTCCTCTGGAAATTTTTTTTTTCACTTTTATTCTTGGGGTTCACTTCCATTATTTGGAAATGGTAACGGTGTCAAAAATAAAGGTGAGGGTAATTTTGGGATTTCACTAAAAATCTAGTTGTTTTTTGACACCTTAGCCCTTCTGGTAACGGAAGTGAACCTAAAAAATTTTCCACAGGGTGTATAAGCGGGAAAATCTGATGGTTCTAGTGTAGAATAGTTCACATATGTTTCATTTGCCTTGCATTTGATATTTCTGCTCTTTTGAAGGTCCTGTCATAATGTTTCACTTCAAGTTTCAAGTCAAAATATAAATGAATATTTTAAGATTGGAGGGGAATGAAGGGTGAGAACATACATATTGTGAATGGGTTAATTTTCCAATCAAAGTTAAAGACAGCATTTGAAAAAGAAATGACTTGGCTATTTTCTTCTCAGTTTAGTTGCATTAATGGACTTAGAAATGGGTATTGGCAACAATTTCTTAAGGAAAGTAATAGAAGTACTGTTTGCATTTCTCTTGGTATTATGCAAGGATCTTTGCTGATTACCTCCTATCCACAAGAAACTATGCAAAATAAAAAAGAAAGAGTTACTAAGCATAATATAGTGGGATTTGCCTATTTCTAGGAAAGAAGGGCTTTTGGGAACAGTAATGTAGGTATCACATAGATTTGATTTATTACAGAGCATATTGATCAGAAGAGTTGTGAAGAAGATGATAGTCCTTTTTGAAAGCTGTTTTAAATAGCACATATGATTCTTTCTTGTTACCTATTGATTATAAAAAGTTTTGAAGGAGTACCATATTGAAGGGAAGAGCAAATGTCTTAAATGGAGCAATATGGATTCTTTTTTGTTATCTTCCATCACGCTTAAATTTCTGAACTACTTCTTTTGAGTAATTAATGGATTAAGGCAATACGTTAAATGAATTGGAAAATAAAAGTTAGACGAAAATGCTGCTATTTTCTATTATTCATGTTTCAAACTCTATCAAAGTCTTATTTGCAATTACTTAGATTAAAAATTCAATCTTATTGTAGATTAGTTTTAGTAAATATTTGTTTGATTGGTTAATGGATGTGTGAAGTGAATCTTGTTTCCTTGCAATGCAGGCATTACTCGAGTTTTCTATGGATCAGATTTTATCACTGTAACAAAGTCTGATGATGCTTCTTGGGATCTCCTCAAGCCAGAAATTTTTGCTGCAATTATGGATTTTTATTCCTCTGGACAGCCATTGTTTCTAGACTCAAAAAGTGCAGCAGCCACGGACACTGCAATTCATGAGGTACCTTTTCTAACTTCAGTTTTTCCAATTTTTGGAATAGTTAACATCTATTTGTAGGCTGGTGAGTGTTATCTAGCATAACCTTTTGCTTTCTGTATCTGAGATTTTTTAGGTTGGCTGTTTCTTGAGTTTTATCATGCTGTACCTGTAGTAGCATGGTTTCAAAGGCTTTGAAGAAGGCTCAGGTTGGATGAAGTAGGCATTTGCCTTTTCATCTTGAACCTGTCTTGTGTCTAAAATTTATGTCATACCCAATAAAAAGAAGTTGCCAATTGCAATATTTAGGCATGATAACTAATTCTTCTGCAAGTGTTGCTAAAACATTCTTCTCTCCCCTCCTATGTTAGAGGTTTGGTGTTTTATTCTCATATGAATCTTATGATCTTAGAATAAGCTGGAGAATTATATTTAAAGAGACTAAAGGAAGTGAAAATGATACAAATGTGGAAGGAAAAAGTATAATTTGGATAGACTAGCAACATTAGTTATTGAACATTGTATACCTGGAAAATAAAATAGATGAGCTTATCTTGTACTTGTGGAGAATATCACTGTGAACATTTCATTCCTTTCTTTCTCAATATCTTTATTAATCAGAACCACTACCTAATAGTTGCAAAGAAATGTGCATAAATCATGTAAATGCCACTGCATGATGCAGGATGACTCTGAAACAGTTGCAATGATCAAAGAGCTGCTGGAGACTCGAATTCGACCAGCAGTGCAAGATGATGGTGGGGATATTGAATATCGGGGATATGACCCGTAAGCTTCCTTTTATCCTTATTCGGTTTAAATTTTTTTCGAATTCTTACGCCTACTTCATTTATTTGCTTTTGAATTAGCATTGATTGAACATTTCCTATTTGCTTTTGTAGGGACACAGGAATGGTGAAATTGAAAATGCAAGGAGCATGCAGTGGCTGCCCAAGCTCATCTGTCACTTTGAAATCTGGCATTGAGAATATGCTAATGCATTATGTACCTGAGGTAACAATAATGATTGTCCTTATACTTTATTCATAACATATTTGGTATGAAGATGGCTGGAGAGAATAGGATAAGTAAGTGATATTTGAAAAGGAAAACGATTGGTTTCGATTTTTGTGCACACAGGATTAAGGAATGGAAAAGTATAAATTTTATGGTATGGCATGTTTTATGATTAAAAATATTATTGGATGATAAGTTTTATCGGTCAAATTACCCTTGTTTGCCATATGGCCCATATCATCATATATCTAATAAATCTTTTAAGAAAAAAGCACATGGGAGTGAAGATTGTAAAGTAAGGGAAAGTCAAATTATACCATCCACCTAGTATTCCGATCTGTTCTAAAATTATATCATCCCATCCCCCTTCAGTGGATGATATGGTCAAGGAATAGACATCCATTCTCAATCCAATCTTTTTGTTTAAAACACGATGTAGGATAAGAAGCATTTATAATCTAGTGTGAAACCATCATAGTTTGTTAAAGCTATATAGGAAGCACAGTTGTTCATCTACATCTTTGGCCAGTTATAATGGTCATATCATCTTACCCTTGGTATGTGAAGGAGTGATTAGTCTGGTCTGTCTCTTAATGCATGTGCTGATGCAGGGTTTTATTCCTATCAGTGAATTAGCTCTAGGGACTTGTTAAGTTGATTTCTTTTGTTGTAAAGATTGGAATATGGTATGCTCTTACTTTTTAGTTCTCAAAATGAAGCAGAAATTTCCGGATGTTTTATAAGGAAAGTTGTTGTCTAAGGAAGGAGGCTGATGAATAGAACATAGGAGCTGAATTGTATTAAAAGAGAATAGGTTGGCAGCAGCGTTATTTTGTGATGCATATTTATAACTACATATATATGCTGTAGGTGGATTACCGATTACCTATTGTGATGCGGTCATAGTTTTCTTGAATAGTGGGTCTACTGTTTTTTTTCAATGACTACATGATTATGATCAGGATTTGAATAATAATGGTGCAGGTGATGTGTATGCATATCATGGTAGAATCTTTGTTATGTACCTGATATTGTAAACCTAATAACATAAGACAGACATGATTTGTTCTGGATGATGCAGAAGAGCCATCAAAACAAAACAATATATCTTTTAGTTAGTGAAAATTTGTTTTGAGTGAGGGATCCAATTGTCACAAACTGCTAACAAGAACATGGATGTCCTCAGTTTTGACCTAAATAATAGTACCTGACAATTGACTATTTCTCTCATTCCATTCTTGAATATCAAAACATACACTGTTCTTGGGCTTAGTATATGTTATTGCTTTACTAGCTTATTCTTTTGATTTTGGCAATCGTTTTGGCAATTGTCACACGTTGCTTGCTTGTTATTTGTATGGGAATTCTTGGTGGGACCTAGGACTTGGCTTCCTTTTTGTTTGATTATCTTGTGGAGTATTCTGATGCAGGTCAAAGGTGTGGAGCAAGAATTAGATGCTGAAGATGAGGATGCTACATTAGCTGGTCAGATGGAGTAGCTGAAAGTTGAACCATCTCCCTGGGGTAATCACATAAATAAGGACTAATGGCAGCCGTCCTGTACAATAGCTACCGCGGGTTAACTATTTTATCTGTTGGAAGAGAACCATGTTCATTCCTGTTATTAGTTGCAATAATGTGCATTTGGGATTTAGTTGAGAATATTTTATAACCGTGTGAGGTGATTAGCTGCCATGGTCTGTTTACCTCCTGAAATTTTGGATTTCCAATCTATTTACCTGCTGTGTGGACATTGACTTTATTAACATGGCCTGCCTTCTCTTTTTTTTTTTTGGTCTTTTTCTTCATAACAAACCGCAAGTTCTAGTATTTTACTCACCTATATATATATTTTCATTTTCAACCTTATTCTTCTCTCTACAATTTCTCTTTCTCTAGAATCAAGCTGTTAGTCTTCTCTCTCCACAATTCCTTCTCTTTTCTTTTTCACATTTGTTTTAGAATTTGATTTGGAAAATTTTGGATTTTTACTCAATGAGAATGGATGAAAAGAAAATGAAAGAGAAAGACCAAAAGAAAATTGATAAAAAGGAGAAAGAAAAATTAAAAATGTCACATCAAAAAGATAATTTTTTATGAAAATACCTGTAATTTATATGACAAGGAAAAAAAATCAATTTAAGTCTTGAAATTTTTTTTTGTTGTTTGGATGAATTAATGAAAAATATTTTTTTATTATTTGATTGTTTTTAAAATTTTTTTATAAATAATATTAATATAATTATTAAAATATTTTAAATTATTTATTATTAAAGTATATTAAAATTATTAATATTAAAAAATAATTATATTTAATATTAAAATATTATATTATATAAAAAATACTTAAAATAAAACTATTTATTATTTTTATATTATTTATTAACATAATAATATTTATAAATAAAATTATGCTAAAAAATATTAATAAATAATTCTATTCATAAACAATTTTTTAAAAATCTTTCTTTTTTTTTTAATCGTTAAGTAATTTTAAAAAATATAACTTTATTTTTATTAATCAATAAATTATTTTTTATTGGTTAATCCATTTTTTACAAATCAAATATCTAAAAATACAAGAACTTTTTTTCAAAAGTTTTTTCCTGGAGCCTATAATAATCTTCCAATAAAAAAAAATAGAAGAACAACCCTGTCATAAAAAAAATCCTTCTTTTTCCCCCACGAGGGAACAGCGAACTCAAATATCTATTCCTTAGCCAGAGCCCGGCCGAAGCAGACTATCACAAATTGATAAGCAGAAAGCATTTAGCAAGGCAAAGAGAAGCGGCTATGGAAACTCTTTGCCCCTCACTATCCACCATTTCTTTTGGACTCAACTCTCACAAATCATTGCGCCTAATTGCCTCCCTAAACGCTAACAGCAGATTTCCCATTTGGGTGCACAACAACAAAACCAAGAACCACTTGAACCTTTCCTTATCCTCTTCTTCCAGTTCTTGCATTTGTTCATCTAAAACTGAAACTGAAACTACAACTTCAGCTTCCTTCGATTCAACAAGTACCAACAACCATTGGATGGTGCTAATGACGAAGCCTCCAGAAGGGGTCAATTCCAAACCCCAAATCATTGATTACTATGTCAAAACTCTGGAAAGAGTTTTGGGCACTGAAAAAGATGCTCAGATGTGTATATATGATGCTTCTTGTGATACCCAATTTGGTTTTTGCTGCCACGTTGATGAACAAACTTCCCGTGAACTTGCTTGTCAGTGTTTTGTTCTTTCTGTTTTCATTTTTGGATTGGATGTGCCTGCTTTATTGCTTCTTATTCTGAAATGGGTGCTTGAAATTTCTGTTAAAAGAGTTATTGCTATTCTTTTTCAATTATTTGGCATCTCTATATTTGTAGGTTTACCTGAGGTTTTATCGGTTAAGCCAGACCCACATTACAACTCTGAGAAAAAAGATTACACTGCTTCAAGCATTCAGCTTACTAACGAATTCGATTCAGGAGTAGGAAGTCTGCAGTTATTTCCTTCTGGCAACACCAAACACTGGCTTGTTCGAATGGATAAGCCAGGGGTTGGGGTTGTTACAAAGGCACAAATGGTTGATTATTATACTCAAATACTAACCAAGGTTTTGGGAAAGTAAGTATTTTTTTTATTAAGCATGAAAGAAATTTTCTTCCTTTGTATCATACAGTTTCTTAATTATGGAGTCGATTGCAGTGAGAAGGATGCCCAAATGTGCATATATCATGTATCTTGGCAATCCCATTTTGGTTTCTGTTGTGAACTTGATGAAGAATGTGCGCAGGAACTAGCAGGTTTGGTATATACTCTTTTTCACTGTATTTATCAAATAAAAGTATTTTGCAGTTTTGGACTGAATGCTTCCTTTATGTCACAGGTGTACCTGGAGTTCGATCTGTTGAGCTAGATAGGAATTTTGAGTCAGATAACAAAGACTATGGAGGTTTCTCTCTTGTTTTACTTAATTTTCTCTTATTTGAAAACTATTCCTGTTGTTCTGAACTTCTGATACCGACCTATTCATTGACTATCCTACACCAGCTGTGGGCTTTATGGAAAGGTTTTAATATAAGAACTAGGAGTTTTGGTATATAGATGGTTTTCAAAAATCTCAATCAATTAGTTCTGGTTGATAATTATTTGAAGTGCTAGAAAAAAATTTCTCTATCTGTCTGGCTTGGCAGGAATTTGGGGAGGATTTATGAGTTTAAAGGTTACAATCAGGAAATTTTTTCAATTTAAGGATTAGTATGATGTAGATAAAATATGTGTGGGTAAGTAGTTGGATAAACTATCTTTTACTTTGAGGTTACTGCCCAAATTCTTATATCAGATGATGATATCGTTTGATATCATGTTTTCCTGCAAGTAAGATAATCCTTATTATTAACATTTTATTTGTATTACTTTTCCCTATTGGCTTTCGTTTCCTTAGGGATTTATGCTATTAGAGAGAGCTCTTTTTTGTTTTTTTTGGTTTGCTGGTATATAGATGTTACAATTACTGGTTATTCAATTCAATGCCTTTCTTTTTTTTTTTTATTTTGATCAATCATCTATGGATTTCAAAGGATTAAATTTTCTTTTTATCCCTCTTTCCTTCCAATATAGACTAACAATTTACAATTTCCAGGTAATAATTTTCAGAATTCTACAAATCTGCCAGAGTCTTCAGAAACTATTGAAATGACCACCATAAAAACAAAGAAACTTTTCATAACAGGTAGTTGCTGCTCCAAATCTGATTTTATTCTTTTTGATTTATTTAACATGGTCTTTGTTTCTTTTCATGTTAGTTCTTTTCCTTGCGAATATGATTTGTTGGATCATATTATGGAAAATTAATATTGTGGTCAACCACTGTTTGTTTTCAACTCATATATACCAAAACAAGGAGAAACAGAAAATTTTCTAATAACGAAGTTGTGAAACAAACATAGTCTAGTCATTATGTGTGATTGTCGTCAGTTACTTTATGGCTAATTTTCTGCAAAATAAAAAGAAACAGTTAATTGGTGCACCATCTGTCAATGAAACTGTGTTTCTCTTTGTTGCCTCATAACCTGTCCTACTTTTGTATATCCTTTCATGGGATCCAAAACTTGTAGCAGTGTGGATTCATTTTGTACCTTCCTTTCTTATTTGCTAATTGAAGTCCTTTGTGATCTGTACTTATCAAACAGGCCTGTCATTTTACACATCTGAGAAAACATTACGTGCACATTTTGAAGGTTTTGGTGAGCTTGTTGAAGGTATCTTTGCATGTTTCATGAATCAAGTTTCATGCAAAAATGTAGGTTGACTTGCTAATGCTGCTATTCTCAACAGTTAAAATTATAATGGACAAGATCTCTAAAAGATCTAAAGGTTATGCATTTGTGGAATACACCACAGAGGAGGCTGCAACTGCTGCACTTAAGGAGATGAATGGCAAGGTAAAAAAATTCTGAGGAGCCTTTTCTATTTTTTGCACTTTCTACATCTACAGCACTGTACACTAGTTAGGAGAAATGAGTTTTTAGATTTAAGAGAGACCAAAACCTTTAGAGGTAGATTACGAAAGACGTGGATGCAAGTAATAAAAAATGATATGATTGTTAAGAAAGTACATGAAAAGGTTTTTGTTTATAGAAATAAGTGATGCAAAAAGATTCAAAATAGATCTAACATGATTCACTTTTTTGGCCTTTTATATAGCTGACCCTACAGTCATAGGATATAAGACTTAGTTTGTTATTTTTGTTGTTCTACATCTACAGTTCTGGTTTATGACTGTAAATACAGGAAAAGCAAGAGAGAGGCTGAATCTTTTTTTTTTGGGTTTGCTTTTCTAGATCATAAATGGTTGGATGATAGTTGTTGATGTTGCCAAAAGCAGAACTTGAGCAGAGGCGGTTCCAGACCGACATTCTGAAGAGGAAGAGAAGGAAAGAGTGGAGTGTGGGATGAAGTAGAAGCAGGAGATTGTGAGGGGAAGAAATGCCCTTGTACCAGAAGAATTTTGCAGATAGACTACCGAAATTTTGTACATTAAAATTACTAGAAATGATCAATAGCTGTTGAAATTGTTACATCAATATATTTTACTTCATTTAGGTAAATGCCTTCTTAAGTGCCAGCTTGGTCACTGAAGATCACTTAAGAAAACAGAGCCTATTTACACAGTAGAAAATTGACCTTAGAAACAGAGCCCATTCCATCTGATGACACGTCCCCTCCACACAAATTCCCAACCAAACCCCTATAAAATCCCAAACCTCGGCAAAGTCTGGAGGAAAGTAGCAGAAAACAACCAAAGCTAATGTGTGTGAGAAAGCCGAAGAGTCCACCTCCATGGGAAGCCCTTGTTTTGGTTGCTCACTACCTTGATCCTAAAGCCTTAGCCACGGCTTCGTGTGTTTCCAAGCCATGGTCTGTAGCCATGTCCTTTAGACCACATCTGGCAACCGCTTTATTCTTCCCGCTACCTTTCTTTGTCCAACCTCAAAATATCCTATCCTTCAGTCCCATATCTCCGCCTCTATGCTACTGGCCTCGCGGCTTCCAAACGCCGCTTTAAACCCCCATCAAAGCCACGCCTTTCCTTGGACAACCTCGTCTTTGCCATTGAACTATCCACCCGGAGAGCCCCTGTTCTCACCATAGCAGAAACAGCAAGCAGAATCAATAACATCCAGGGAAATGAAGTGTTTTAAGTTCGATATTGATGTAAATTGCCATGACTGTTATCCGGGAATTAAAGCTTTAGAAAAGATAAAGATAACGTGGAACGTGGTGTTAAAAGGATGGGAAGCAGTGTTCACGATGATGGACTGCGAAGGAAAGTTAAGTTCCACGGCGGCAGTGGAAGGATGGTTCTTGGAGGAGCTTCCTTCTCCAGGGTGTTGCTCCACCGATGTGGGAAGTGGGATGGTTGCGGATTTGAAGTTGGAATTTTCTGCGGATTTGGAAGTAGAAAAAAGTGAGTGTAGGAATTTTGAGGTGCATAGATTGGAGATATGCGAATATTGATGATGGGCATAGATATTTGCAGCAGTTTCTTCTGCTTTAATGTAAATTAATTCCATGTTTTTGTTCCACATTGAGTAACATGAATGCTAAATCAACAAGCAAAAAATTTTCATTAATCTGAAAAATGTCAAATAAGTTTTTTCTTGTTTGTTTTCATCTTCAACTATTATCAAATTTGATCAAAGTCTAAAATTCAAGATGAAGACCAAGTAAATTTTGAAAAAGAAAAAAGAAATCTGGGTTCATTAAGAACCATTAGCTTAATTTTAGCCTTAAATTTTACGCGATTAATTACTAATTTTGCACTACATTTCTATAAAATCATTCGGATTGCCATTCCTTGGTTCTTGGAGAAAGGAGTGCTTTGGTGACATCCTCTTAAAAGACTGATGTCATGCATATATATATATATATATATATATTTTATAGCCAATTAGTGGATATTTAATTTAATGACAAGGTCGCTTTTTTTAGTTGCAAATCCAAAGCAAGTCTTTGACACTATCGAGGCTAAGCATTTTTATATTTTTAAATAATTTCATATATTGATTTTAAGATAGGAACAAACATTTAAGCTAGATTTAAGCTTAAAGAGATACAAAGAAATTTTAAGTGTTTAAAGGAATTGGTTTCTAAATGAATTAGTTGAATCCCTAAATCCCCCAAAAACATGTATTCGAACTCCAGAGAAAAGAAATAGGGTTAAACTCAGCATGTATATTTCGAACTCTTGAGAAAAGAAATTACCTGTTTGCGAGATCGAACCGTAACTCCAATGTCAGATGAATTGTTATGTATTCTAAACCCAATCTCCGGGCTAAACTCTATCATGCATCTTTCGTTGAATAAAATTACTTTCCCTTATGATCTTATCCAATCCAAAAGAGTCGTCAAAAGGAATTGAGGTCACATAAATAATAGGTTCTTGGTATCCTGACAAGTATTCAATTTGCACTAGAAGTTTGATAGAAATTCAAATCTCTTTTCTAATAAATTACTAATCAGCAGGTCCGTACTATGTTGCATGCTTGTTTTAATTGTGAAAATACTACAACCTGCAACTAACTTCGAGCGAGAAACAAATTGGAAATCTTGGTTATCACCTTCATTTATTTTGTGAATTTCTATATTTCATAATTTGGAGTTTTCATCATGAAGAGCATCATTAAATGAAAGAGATAGTTCATTCCCATTCTCAAAATCAAATCTGCACCTTACAAATGGAACTTGAAAACAACACTATTAGCTTTCAGCCTCAGAGATGCTCTGTAATGACGGCCACCATGATTATGCAAAACATGCAAAAGATGCAAAGATGTAAATGCCCTCAAACATGCAAAAGATGCAAATACATAAATAAGCAAATAGCATATTACCTCTTATTCTCTTAACAGAAATAGAAGAAGATTCAACACCTGATAGTCAAATGACTTCAGATGAATTGCCCACATCACATCTTCAATGGAGATCTAGTAAAAGCAAACATTTAATCACGAAACATTTTCTTAATCTTTTAGGTTGCATTACATGAAATTTTTTTTTTCATTTTACAATCTAGTTTGGAGAAAGTAACTCCCAATATAAACAAAAAGCATTTTGATTACACATCCAAAATCAATGTAGAAAATCTAAATTTATAAAACATTAGCAGCTTGTTAGTCTTGGAATCAATTTTGTATAGCACTTGGTATTCTCAATATTTAATGTTTATTAGAAATATAAATGCAAAGATATACAAATGTTTCAGGTCAACCAAAGCATAAAAATCATTAATGAATGTAATGAAATGATTGAATTTTAGACTAAAAGAATGATAATCTACATACTAAAAGATTACTAAAGATAGAGAGGACTAAGCATTTCTAATGGCTTTGAACTCCCTAAAAACAAATAAAGTCCCACAAAAAAGAATAAAAAGTCAAGTTAAAATAAGATATAATCCGTTTGAAATGTACTTTTCACACCTTTAACTGATATTGCCTGTACCAAATATAACAGCTGGATCAATGGTGTACAGAACATTAAGAATGGAAATTATGAAATAAAATCTTTAAGGATTAGATTTCAATGGTTTAGGGAATAATCATTCATTATTCATTGTTGTTATGAATATAATATGTATTAAAGGAAAGAAAAATGGACTAAACTTCAATTGTTGGTTCAATTAGTTACACATGGTGATGTGATAAAAGGCTATCAATTTCAATGCATCATAAAAACAAAATACGAATCTTGCAATTTTTCTAACGATTAAGATACTCTAATGTTTTAATTTCAATTTGGTTGCCAAGTAAGAAAGAGAAACAGACACCTGTAATTGCTTAATTGGAAGGTATAAAAGCTTTTTGATTTATCACTATTTTATCTGCATAACAGTATATCTCAATGGAAGACCACTTCAATTGAGCATTAAAAATAAATAGATAAGCTAAAAAGAAACCTTCATGTATGTATCTACATTAGGATTTGGAACTATCCCTACCTGCTTCTCTCTTTTGCTGACTTCCTTCATTATTTCTTTCATTAGCATAAAACATATTAGAAATTAAGCTAGTAAATTACATGAAAATCACCATTTTATATATGGCACTTACCGCTTTGCTTCCTATACCCTGTAAGCGTGCAGAAAAAGCAAGTGCTCCCTTACCGTCATCTCTAGAGTATGCAGATCATATTGGCTAATGTAAACTGAGGTTTTATGAGGATTAAACTCGTCCAGTCCATAACCATTGTAAGTTATGCTGTGGGCTGCATAATAATGAAGTAAATATTTTTTGAACTGTGAAGTAGATACTTTTTAAACTATGAAGTAGATAGTTTTACATAGTAACCTTTCAGTTTGGAGCAAAATTTGTCGATAACGGCAGGATTGTGGACTTCCAGGACGCACTGTACAACAAAGTTCCTTGCAGGATCTTGTGCCAGGTACACCACATGATCAGATATCAAGTTCAAGAGTTGATCTCTTCAGGGACATTTGATGTGGGAGATGAAACTGTTCATAGATGCACATCCTCTCTCCTGTATGGCTAGCTGGAGTTAGTTATTGATGGCTTCAATATATAAAAAATCATTCTTCCGAGAATCAACAATGTCTAGGCACTTTTATCATAACATATTGTCCTGTTTGATTAACTATCAATTCCCAGAATTTGTTGAGAAATCTTTCACAACCTCTGTAATCAATGGGGATTTCTCAAGCACTTTGATAAGCTTCTTCATTGAGTAACTGCCATATTTATCAATTGATGCATAGAAGATGGCTCCAGAAGAGGATGCTAGTTTATCCATAATCATCCACAACTGGTTTTCATCTTCTAACTCAATCAGCTTTTGAAATAGATAGCGTCCATAATGGTTGGTAATCATTCTATACCTTATGCACCAATTTTCATTAACATCTTCTATGTTCCTGAGAGAAGAAAGATACATAATAATAAAAATGCTTTCAAATGATACTATAACAAAAAGAACTGAAATAAGAAAAGGTAATACTACAAGTAAAGCTCCACTAATTTGATTTGATTAACAGTATGTACTCCAGCCATTTTGACCACATACCAACATCAAAATCCAAGACCCCTAACTTAGTTTGTACAACAATTTATAGATACCGGTAACCTTCATTTATAGTTGATCGGATCGTTGATTGGTTTGGTTTAAGTATTTTTTATTTTTTTAAATTTTTTAAATTATTTTTTAAAATTGTTTTAGTTTTATTTATGCATGTTTAATACCTCTAAATTTGTTGGATTAAATATTTGTTATTTTATAATAATAATTGATAATAACAACAATAATAAAAAATGATTTCAAATTTTTTATATATATTTTTCTTTATTGATAATAACCCAAGTGTTAAATAAAAAGTTATAAAATGATTATAAAATAAACTAGTAATAAGAAAATTTTTCTGCCTAGATGTTAGAAGGAATATAATCATATTTTAAATAATGATAATTCCGTCTAGATGTTGAAAAATTATTAAAAAAATAATAAATAAATTAAATACTATTAATAATAAATTTTCATATAAAAAAATTCTTTTAAATAGTTTTTAAAAAATCATAACAATTGAACTTACTCAGAAAGTCTACATAGATATTGGAGATTTCTAGAGATGTTTATGTTTTTTTAAAAAATCTAAAATCCTAAACACCAAACCCTAAAATCAAAACCCTATAATCAAACTCTTAAAACCCTAACTCTTAAATGAAAACCCTAAAATCCTAAACCCCAAAAATTAAAAAATCTAAACCCTAAACCCTTCCAAATCCTGAATATCGAAACCCCAAATCTCAAAACCTTAACTTTAAAATCATAGATCCTCAAAACCCTAAAATCTAAAATCTCAAACTCTAAAATCCTAAACCCTAAATTTAGCACACAATCCTGAATCATCATAAAAAAGTCACAAAACCTTAAAACTTTGACCTAAACCTATGCCCAAAATTATCCCAAAACTCTAAAGATACATGTGAAAATCTCACATGAAATGATTTGTTCCCAAATGCCGCCTAGACAATTGGGTATTTAGGAAACTTTATTTCATTAAGTTTTTCATACGAATCCTTAATTCGCATTAATAATGAGATTAATAAATAAAAAAGTATAGTAATAAATTGAGATTTTAAATATAAATAGTCATACCTAAGCTTTGTCTAGATGTTGGAAAGTCAGGATGATCTCATTATACTTGAGACCCCAACTTTAAAATTACATTTCATCACCTTACATAACATTCATCAGTATACATATGTTATCATGTTATTGTTAGCAATCGTATACATTTCTTTGTCTTTAATTTTTATTTACTACTTAATAATAAAGTGTTTTATAAAAAAAAGCAATACATTTATTAAAATTGTGATATTATAAAATAAAATGAAAATAATATTCCAAAGAAAATAATTCTTGGTATTCTGCCTAGATGTTGGAGAGTCACCATTAATTATCTTCCTCGAAGAATGTTCTTTCCATTTTCAAAAAATGCCATGGTTAATATCAGTTAAAAAAGTTATATTTAATGTTTTGCCTAGATATTGAAAAATTTTAAAATAATTCTTTAACTTAAAGATTTTTTTGATGCTTAT